AACTTAAAATTGAAATAATACTTTTGTCCCATTTACACTAAGAAAAAAAATCTTAATACAAAGAAAATTTACTTAATACAAAAAAAGTTTACTTGTGTAAAGTAATTTTCTTTGTATTAAAAATTTTTTTTCTCAGGGTAAAATTAAAATATTCTTACTGTTTTAGATGTAACCTTATTTTGATAATACATATATTGTAAGAGTTGTTTTTGAATACGAGAGAATTTGAAATCTCGCGGGTAAACGGGATCGAGGTAACGAGGGAAACTTATCCGTAGAAAAGCCACTAGAGTGTTCTCGTGGATGGGTAAACAGTACTGACTCCTGTTCACTATAAACACTTTATTCTCGTTGTCTGTGGCGAAGGACGCTACGCCATTGCTTGAGATAATCTATCTAATCTGGTAATCTAAGTAGCCCGTATGGTCGCACTAGTGAGTGCAGGCGGAAATCGTCGTCGGAAGTTGATCACTCCGCCACTCGGCGTTCTATCGCCATCATCTGATTGGCGTCAGAAATACAAACTGAAAGAACATGCGCAATCCGATTTCTCACAATATGGTAATAAATTGTACTGTGAAAAATAGATTATTTTTTCGAAAAGTTTTGCAAAAGCAAATTAATATTTTAAAACTTAGTACAAATTATTCAATGATGAAAAAATTAAGTTATATATATATATATATATATATAATTCGTATATAAATTATTAAAGTTTTACAAAATATTTATTTGTTACATAGGGTAAAGTCGCCTATTATGAGATAGGTTCCTAATATGAGATAGCGGGATTTCTGTTAAACTAATAAGCGCATGTGGTTGGTTTTATTATGAACTTATTACTAATAGAGTAAAACATATTTAATAGAAAACTCATTATTAGATCATAATAGTTGGGAAAAAAGAGTTTTGAAATTGGATGTTGTCGAATTTTATTGAGTTAGTCTTCAAACTTTGTTTTATTATATAATAAATAAATATTTAGTAATAAAGTCTGTATGCATTAATTAATAGAGTAAGGTCGTATTAATAGAAAAATGCCAGATATGATGATGTACTTAATTGTAAAAATTAGATTTGGTAATCATGAAGCCACAAGGCATGGAGCTTGTAATATGAGATAATCTAACCTATGTTTAAACACGCTATCTGCGCTATTTTCTTAAAAATTCGTACAAAATACTTTTTATTAAATGTATAAGTCTGATATGTTGTCATTGATTCCTAGTTTAAAGATTTTTTATTTTTTGTGTTTTATGTTTTGAAATGACAAAGTCAAATACAAGTCAAATCAAAAAATTATATAACTACAATGTATAATTTAATTTTTGTTCCTATTTTTGTGTAATAAAGACGAAGACAAGAAACTTTTCTTTATTTTTCCTTCGGTTTCCTATTATGAGATACCATCCCATATAAGAAACCCTTATGTCTCATATTAGGAACCCTTTTTTTTGAATGAGCAAAATCGGCACTTTTGATAAAAAAAATTTCACATACAAAGTATAGTTACTATCAATCGCTAACTTTTTTGATAGTAAGTCTTAAATATATTTCCTATAAAATTGACATAAAAATAGGAGTTAAGGTTGCAAATTAAATAAATTACAAGTCTTTAAAAAATGGTATCTCATATTACGAACGAGGCGACATTATCCTATATATATATATATATATTTTTTTTATGAAGTTGTATGTCTTTTGTAGTTTAGACATTGCTGAAAGTGATTCAATCCTCACAGGTTAGATTTCTCGACGCCAAAGAGACTTTCCAATCGATTGAAAATGAATCGCGATAAGCTGTTTTTTCGACATGTGCTTCTTTACACTAACTTCGACTTCAAGAAAACCGCAGCTGAAGTGCATCGCTTATTATCCGAAGTGTATAGTGATGAAACTCCATCGGAAAGAACATATAGAGTTTGGTTTGAACGCTTCCGAAACGGTGATTTTGATGTGAGAGACAGAGAACGTCCAAGACAGTCGAAAAATTTTGAAGATGTCGAGCTGTAAGAATTGCTTGATGAAAATCCAGCTCAAACGCTTTTAGAGTTGTCGAAAGCGTTAAATGTTACTCCAAAGACCATCTCAAAACGCTTGCATGCCATGGGAAAGATTTATAAGGAAGGGATATGGCTACCACATGAGTTGTCAGAAAATACCATTTTGAATCGTTTGTCTATTGCGACTTCTTTGCTTGCCAGGCAAAGAAAGAGTTTTTTGTGACGCATCGTGACTGGCGATGAAAAATGGATTTATTTTGATAATCCCAAGCGGAAAAAATCATGGGTGGACCCCAGCCAACCATCCGCTTCAACGCCGAAGAGGAATATTCACGGGCATAAGACCTTGCTCTGCATTTGGTGGGACCAGAAGAATGTGCTGTATTATGAACTCTTGCGTCCAAATGAAATCGTTACAGCTGATCACTACCAACAGCAATTATGCCGATTGAGTGACGAATTGATGCAAAATAGATCATCCGTAGCCAACAATTGACGCAAAGTCATTTTGTTACATGATAACGCTCGACCGTATGTTGCGAAAGGCGAAGCAAACACTTTTACAACTTGAATAGGAAATCTTCCCGCATCCAGCGTACTCTCCAGACTTGGCACCGTCGGATTACCATCTCTTTCGATCGATGCAACATGCACTTAAGGACGCACACTTCTCCGGTTACGAAGAAGTCCAAAAATGGGTGGATGAATGGATCACCTCGAAAGATACCGCGTTCTACTGTTCTAGGATTGCCCTGTTGTCGGAGAGATGGGAAAAAGTAATAGAAAATGAAGGAAATTACTTTGATTAAGGTATTTGTTCATCTCTTCCCTTCGAAACAAATCAATTTTGGAGACGAAAAAACGGCAGGAATTAAGTTCAATACTTAATATGTGCGTGTGCGTGGTTTTTATTATTTAGTTAATTTTTTCTTTGTTTTAAGAGCATTCTCTCTCTCTCTCTCTCTCTCTCTCTCTCGCATAATCGCCGGTATTGCAAAGAGATTTATGTACTCAGAGTTAAACATTAATTTACATTTGCATGCAATTTAAGATGTAGCATCTTATCCATGAGTAGCGCTAGGCTATGGAAGCGCAGTTTTCGTACAACCGTAGCGTTAAATATGTAATGTGACGTTCGTACGGTGGCGGTTAAGAATAACGCTGCTCTTCCAAACCCGTTGGAAACGACGGGTTAATGTTTTCCCTAACTCTTTTTATCATCATTTATTTCTAATAGATACAGGAATAGATTTTTTAAATCGCAAATCACCGAGATTCTCTGGTTACTTTATATATATTTAAAAAACGAGATTACACATTCAGGCGCTCGGACAAAGTCTGAATTTTTCTTCCGTAGTCGAGACAAGCTCGATTAATTGCCCGATCCTTGATGCAAGTCATGAGACAGGGGTTTTCGGATGACAAGTCTCATAAACACTTCGTGCTTGGCAGACATTTGTCATACACAGGACAACACTAAAGCTCTAATACTAGCGGACTTTTCTTTGTAGATGTGGCAAGACGTTTGCATGTGACGGTGTAAAAGAAGTATGTTGGTTGCGAGGGGGCTCGAGGGACATGGAGAATTTCGTAAGCGAATGAATTTTAAAATAACTATGCTGGGCTAACTGCACTGCTCATCGCATATTTCGAATGAAAAATGGGCAAACTCTGATTTGCGAGAGACTTGTACTTTTTTTTATGAATTTGATCTGAGCTCTAAGACTTTTCGACTTTATGGCATGAAATCTGTAAGATTTCCGAAAGGTAGCTTTAAATATGAATATTGTTACAAGAATGCTTTTACGACAGTTATTAGTTATTATGACAGGCCTAAATAACAAAGATTTCTATACCCATAATAGGTTCTAAAAATTTTTACTCTGAAATATGCCGAAAAGGAAGAAAAAATAAACAGATTAAATTTATAACTTTTTAAATATTTTTCCATCGTCAAGTTTTACAATATGTAGTTGCACTATTTCTCTGTTCCGCAATTGTTTCTTTTTATTTAAAAAGAAATTATTTAATTTTCTTTTATTTGATACCTGCTAAAAAGTAACTATAATAAGTAAACCTACGGAGGTGTCATCTACCGATTTTAATAAAACTTTGCAAATTTGTAGAACTATGAAAAATATTTGACATGTATATTCTTTTTATCGGCGAAGGTCCACTCTGAAGGGTGAAAACTACCCCTTAAAGGTAAGGAGTAGGCTTAACATATTAGGTGAAGTAAGTAAAAAATTTTAAAAAGTAAAATGTGTTAGGGGGTTTTTGCCGCTGAAACTAAATCTTATGTCAAAAGTATGAAATTCAAAATGGCTGACCCAATATGGCGTCCAGCTACGTAAACATCAGACCGCTCCTATCTACCGCGTCTCATGACTGCACGTGGCACATGAAGAAAACTTTTAAATTTCGTACTTTTGACATAAGATTTGGTTTCAGTAACCCCAAAAACCCCTTACTTTTAAAAATTTTCAATTTATTTTTCACTTAATAAATGTACGTTATTTTTAAAACTTTTTTTGTTAATAACCTTTCAACGAATAATGAGCGACGGGAACGGTCAATTACCTTGACCTTCTTGAGGGCCAAGATCAAGGTCAACTCGGAAGTCATTTGAGGCTGACTGTGTAAAGGGGAAGTTTTACCATATATTTTAGAAAGAATATTTTCTAGAAAAAAATTAATGTTATCTAACAAATCTAAATAATAATTAGTCTCTCCTATAGTACACGCGCAACAGAGATTGCAGTGACGACATAATAATTAAACGAAGAAACGATTGGGATCAGATTCGTGTTACTCGCTCTCGACTACACCGCAGTCCACCTTCAATTTAAAATTACGAAATTTTCTATGATATAATAGGATCATAATTTGTGCCGTTTGCTTAACGAATTAATAAGATTTAAGGCACCACTCTAAAAATTATCAGGAACAGTATAAAAATGCAACATGAAGTTTAAATTTTTAATAATTTGATTACAGTGGCAGCAAAGTATAAATAGAATCTACGAGGTGGGATACGCGATATCCTTGGTAGCTCTATTGCTTTCCTTAGGAATTCTCACGTACTTCCGGTAAGTTATTGACGTTGTTATTATCTGTGCTACCTCAATAGCATATTAAAATTTATGTGCGTTCCAGAGTACGTTAATGCAAAAACTTTGAGAATTACTTTCGCAAGTATTTCACGTTTGAAATACGTCTAAATTAGATCGCTTATGAGAAAAAGTATAATAATTTAATAATAAAAGTCGTGGGTTTTTCCAATACTCGAAAAAGACTTTATAAGGATCTTAAAAAATAAAAGGCAAAAAGAAATACGTATTATTTGACAATATTTAAAGCTCTTAATTTAGATTTATTTAAAGAGATATTAAAATGTTATTTTATTCATTTTACATTTACTAGTATTCTACGTATATGTCATAGAATTATTGAATAAACTTTAGACGTATGATATCTTATACATAAAGCTAATTATTGGAGGCAGACTATTTACTCTATTCGAGATATCAAACTAGTGCAGCTTAAATAGTGATCCAATCTAGACGACTGTCATTCACATAAAATTGTTCGGTGAATTTCTAGATTTTTCTTTACTGCTCTGTAACATGAAATTAGGACTAATTGAACAGAGATGTGCAATTGAGAGAGAACTTTCTTTACACACAGATCTCTCAGATGCGCACGGATTACACTGCACATGAATCTATTCACCTCGTTCGCGTTCAACAATGCCTTATGGCTGATCTGGTACAGATTCATAGTAGCGAATACGGATCTACTACTTAATAATGGCGTATGTATTAAGAATATAAATATACTAAAAGTCCATGAAAAAAGATGTATAAGATATCTGAAAATAAGAAGCTATGTTTTATTCGTAATTCAAGATGCTTATATTAAAACAGCGGAAATTGTATTTATCATTAAAACTTTAAAATTTAATAGTATTTCTCTTTTTTAAGCAGTTTAGCTACATATCAAAAAGAAAAAAAGATATGTATGTAATTTAAACAAATGAATCATCGTAATTTATGAAAATTTTACAAATTTTGTACATGTTAGTGAAAAATAAATATATTAAAAATATTTTAAATTAGTTGAACATACAAAGTAGAATTTATTAATCTAATTGTGATACGAAGTTGAATGTGGAAAATATTTTTAATGGTAAATATGTTGGTATGTGATTAAAAAATGTTTAAAAATGATAACAATTTATTTGATTACATAGATTTATTAAAAAATGAGGGTTGTTAGCATCATTAGAAAATATTGTCGAATTATATTTAAACCTTAAATGGTACTATTACTCTGATTGTTCTCAAACGAATACGACTTGACTGACTTTAAAGAGGAATTCATAAACTATCGTGTGCTTTACAGATACCTTGTCGCGTCCTGCACGTAATCCTTCATTACTTTTTATTAACAAACTACGCTTGGATGCTTTGCGAAGGCTTTTACCTGCATACATTGCTAGTGAGTGCATTCACTAGTGAACACAAATTAGTGAATTGGCTGATGGGACTTGGGTGGCCAGTTCCAGCTGTAATCGTCACCTTATATACAGTTTTACGTGCATCCAGTGATGATCCTACAGACACTGAGCAGTAAGTAATAATTTGTCAATGATTAATTGCACTTATAAAACAAATTACTTTGCTAATAACATTAAGACAAGCTTTTGTTCACAATAGATAAAGAGAAATTAAAATCGGATAGAAGATTCAAAATTCAAGATTCGATCTCAAAATACACTACTCAAAAAAATTAAAAGTCACTTATTCCAACCTGCAAAAATAGGCAAATTTCGAGATGGAAAAACTTCGTCAAAAGTCATCGTATCGAGATGTTTAAAAAAGTATTTTAAAACTTGAAGTTTGAATCGATCAAAAATTGTTCGAGTTATAAACACCGTTAGTTGAAAAAAAAAAAAACACTTTTGAAAAAAACACGTTTAAAGTTTCAGTATTGATTTTTTAGAGAAATCTATATCGAACTTGTTAGCTTACCATAATGAAATCTATTCCAGGATCATAAAATAATGAATCGTCTGTAGCAGTGACAGCATCATTTATTGCATTCATATCCTTTATTATAAAAATTTATGATTCTATAGCCGATGATCTGGTTAACGGAAAAATCAAATTTTTGTCCTTAAAAAAACCTTTTTAAAAAAAGAAAAATATACGCCAAGTGCATAAAAAAGGCATTGAATTCCTCTTAATCAAACATCGGAAATGAAATCAATATCATTAATCAAGTATTTCATTACGCTAAACACATAAGATAGACCGAAAGTGGTTAAAATTGTCAACTTTATTATAGTGAAGAAAAAAACTTGGCGTGCCCAGGTCGTATTAATTTTACTTCAGTGAAAATATTATTCCAACATAGTATTTGCATTGCAATTAAATTAAAATATAAAAATAATAGACATATGTATATAATATATACGTATACATATGATACAGATTGTGGGACATGAAAATGTTTTCACAAATAATATATGTGATGTAAATTATGGAAAAATATAATATTTAGATATATTAGAGAAACATAGACAAATTTACAAGTTTACTAAGCGATTATTAACATCTCTTCTTTGTTGAATTATTTTTTTTCATATACATATAAACCACTTTCGATCTATCTTATGTGTTTTGCGTAATAAAATACTTGGTTAATTACATTTATTTCATATCCGATTTTTGATTAAGATGAATTCCATGCCTTTTTTATGCACTTGGCGTATATATTTTTCTTTTTTAAAAAAGATTTTTTTAAGGGATTTCACTGCTTTTTGAAAATTTATTTTTTTAAACTTTAGTTCCAAGTTATATTATATATATTAAAAGACACTAGCTACGTTCAGCAGACTCAACAGTTGAGTGAGCGTTCTCTGTTATTGGTGTATTCTCCTAGATTTAACATTTAATTCAATGATCTAAAAGAATACACCAATAACAGCGAGCGCTCACTGAACTGTTGAGTCTGCTGAACGTAGCCATTAATATTAACTCGCTCGTTAAACTGCAAGATTCAATCGCTCAATTTCAAACGTTATTCATACGATTCCTTGTATGTCATCATAAAATGCACTTGATTATGATTTCTAACATTAAAAACTGTTGACTCGAGAGTGATACGCCACTCGCTTATTACTTACTTAATAATTCTTATGACATGAATCATTTATATAAAAGATTTGATATCAACAGTCGGCGCCAAGTTAAGTTCTAACACAAGTGGTATCTTTAAAAACCCATGTAACACTATTCTTATTAAATTCTACTAAATTAAAAAATAAAACCCATGTGTGGTACTATCTTTATCTTCACAATGAAACTTAAGTATATGTCTTTGTATTATATAATAATTCTTTGATGACAAAAACTCCCGTACAATTCAAAACACTATAGGAGTTAGGCGCAGATAACTTTACGCAAACGCTGATATTTATCAAGAAAAACTTATTTATTACAAAAATTATTCTTACATGTTTCGGCTCATTTTTGAGCCTTCTTTGTATTCTTATTGGAAGATCTTCCTATTCCAAACCGAGTGGTTTAATTTTTCTTTGAGAAGATTATATTATAATTAATTGAAACATAATTTATTCAAACACATTTATTCCTCTCCATCCAAAGTTGTCGTAATTAGTTATTTAATCTTTCTTCAAAACGTTATTCTATCGCAAAATTGCATTACTTTATTCATTTCAAGTGTTACACCACAAGAAATTAAAGAAGTATAGCAGTACAAAATGAAAAAAAATTATTTAAATGGAAAAATGTTTCGCGTTCGCCGTTGCTAGATACGCGTTATTTATGATATAACAAGCGGCAATGGACATTGTTTAGCGACGATCATTGCCGCTTCTTATAATAGCAACGACAAACGCGCGCGACGCGCTTCGTTGGGCGATCATACTATATTCAGCCGCGCACTTGCATTTGGCGATGGACCAGGCGAATTTGGATATTTTTATAAATTAATATTTCGTTAATTATTGCCAAAATTGTAAAATGGTAGAGGACTTTTCTTCTCATTTTAGTCTATTCTACTCTTATGCGACAAATTTTTTTCATTACTTCTCAAATACCCTGTATAAATCGTATAAAATGGGCTTTACATATGAAATTAAGAAAACAACCTCCAAATCTTTTTTCTATTATTAGGCACGTAGTATATGTAAAAGTACAATTGTGCTAAATTGAGAAAACGCTCATTTCTTGCGTTTCCAATAAACTACGAGGAATGAATGTGTCTACTAATGGAAGTGTTTGGGATTCGTTGAAAGAGACTATTGACCTGTGGCATCGTATCGATCGCGAAAAGGGTACCAGAGTCTACACTAATTTCTCAGCAAGAACAGCATGCGGTCAGTTGCGTACGTGATGGTAAAATTAGGTATGTCCGCCACCATGAAGCCGTGGTAGCTAAATGTACCATAGTAGAAGATCGAAACCACGGTGCGACAATCACATTACCGTTCCATTATATACGACAGCTGAACGAAAACTGTCGACATATTAACTTGCTGAAAAATCAGTGTGCTTATTATATAAACAAAGTAATCATTTCCTCTTGCATCCGAAGCAATATCGGGTATAATTAGTAAAATATTTTAGAAGTTTAACAAACAAATGTTAGATAACAATAAATTATAATATTTAAAAGAAAATAAAATAATTAAAAGGCTCAAGTAGAATAAATCAAGAAAATAAAATTTTTTTAAACTGCCAATATTGAGCCGACACTATTTATAAGTATGTGTCTTTTAACAATTTATTCAGAATCATACAAAACGTAGACGTTTCGATCTATGGTTAAGGTCCTTCTCGATACAAATGAGTAAACATTAAAAATTAAAAAGCATCCAAGATGATAACGCATAAAAATATAATTACTATTTTAATAAGTTGACTTTTCGTGATGCTCATTATCAATATGACAGCTATTACTGGTTAATTAAAATTATTATGTAAATTATGTAGAAATACTACTTCATTTGAAGATTATTATGCGCAGCATATGCTTTAATAACGAAATAACATAAGGATACACAATCTTTGCATCCTGGATGCTGGAAACATGCTCCGCGTATATGTATATGTACAAATATCTTTACGAGCGACTAGATTGAAACATATCGAAACATTGATGAAATAAATGGCTCGATATAAAACGAGCCACATCCATGTCATGTTATAAAGTATCAAATTGATAAAAACAACTTTCATATTGAAAGCAAATATTGTCGAATCGATTATTGTGAAAATTTTATGGAACGTTTGCATGTCACGATAATCGTATCTTCTTTAATCTTATTAAATAAGAAGTAATTTGCATAATTTGTATTAATTAATCGATGATTATTGCGTCGATTGAAATTGACCATTTACGAAGTTCCTTATTGAAAGAAATAATTCGAATTTTGATAAAAATATGACTGTTATGTTTGTTATTAACTTGTTATATAATTGTCGTTCCATAATGTATGTATACATATAAGTGATATATTGTTATCACGAATGTAAGATTTTATTCTTAGATTTCAGTCTTAAAATCTTCTCATGATTGTTTTACACAAGATTCGCGTCAGCATCCACTACTTTTCGGTTTATCTGTATCTATTTTCGTCGGTATATTTCTGCAGTATACTCTCCCTATCATGTAGGGTAAATGTTTTATAACCGGTTGGCATTAAGGCAACATCTAGCAGCGATCCTCCAATCTGTTATATATCTTTCTCTCGGCCTTCCTCACAGTATTTATTACAGGAAGCTCGTCACGAGGTTATCCCCTTGACACACTTTTCATCATCTTCCTCTATCAGGTTTGTTAGAATAAGGATTTATATTAAGCGTTTTCCACACACATGAATGTGGATATACTTAGGTACACCAGAATTGAGGCACGATCGATCTTCGATGCACACAAACACTCTCTTTCTCACTTCTCGTTTCCTCATTAATAAAAGTATATCAGATATACATGTTTGTATCTAACGAATGACATGTAAATATTATTTCAACCTATATTGAAGATATCTTTTAAAATACAATGTGACCGCATAAAGCCTCTAAAGTGAAAGCAGAAATTATTATATAATATATATGTACATACGTTGAATTCATTTTGTAATAAACATTTCATTGTTCTCTTGATGACAGACAACGTGTGTCACCAAGTTTCAACGTTTTAGAAAGAACTGCGTGTTCTTTCACAACACAATTTATTACAATATACTTTATTAGAATTCAAAGTACTATTTTCTCATGTCTTTTTTTATATATTAAACAACTTTGTAATTGAAAGAGACACAAATTAGTGAAATGCACATCAGCTGGTAAATAAGTTAAAAATTAATAATTAATTACATTGATTATAAATGACAAATAAAAAAATTGTAACAGATTAAATTATTGTTACAATTAGGTGCTGGATCAATGAGGGCAATTATATGAACGCGTTGGTTTATCCCGTGTGCGTTTCTACTTTGTTGAATCTACTTTTCCTGTTTAATATCGTACGAGTCCTTCTCATGAAGTTACGTGCCGGTCCCGCCATTGGAACGCGCCCTTCACGATCTATGCTGCAAGCTTTCAGGTAGTTGAATTTTTCACTTTCTGTATACTACCTTTCATGTCAAATTATACATTGACATGACGACGCAAAAAAGAACGTAACAAAGAACGAACATATTCCTTTCTACAGAAATTTACGAGCATGTATTTTTATCACAGTAATTGTGTGCAATTTTTTATCACAATAAATCAATTTTCACTTAACGATGCTATCCAATATTTTTAACATTACAGTTTTTTTTTCATTAACAAAAGTATTATAATTTAGTAACTTAAGTATTATAAAATGCTAATAACTAACGGTAAGATTAATTATGCTAATAATTCAAGTCATATTACGAAAGAATTTTATAAGTACAAATTAATGATAATAATTATTCATAATATTTGTAATAATCTATGATCCAATTAATTTGATATCTTGTTCTTAGGGCCACGTTACTTTTAGTGCCCCTATTGGGCCTTCACTATTTAGTAATTCCATTTCGGCCGCCAAAGAATCATCCTTGGGAGAATTTTTACGAGGTCCTTTCAGCAATTACCGCTTCTTTCCAGGTTGGTATTTTTATATTTTTACGTATTTTGTTTTAAAATTAAGAACGAAATAAACAAGTAAATTATATATTATAGATACATTGTATAATACGAGGGCAAGTCAATAAGTTCTTAGAAAATCTGTCAGAGAGCACTCGCAGTATCACATGTCACATTACTTTTTGACAAGTAGCATATTTCAGCTGATTACTGTCAAAGTTTTAGCGGAATTCATTGAGAGGTTTCATTTCTGTAGACGATTAAAGCGATCAACAACTTTTGTATTTTTTGCAAAATTGAAAACGAGTTTTGTGCAGTGATCAAACATTTACTGTGACGTGACATTTTTTGTCAGTCACTTTTGGCCGTAGTTTAAGGACGTTCACCGGCTACAATCGTAGCCAAAAGTTTACTGCTCGCTCGCTTCTCGGTGCATAGCGCATATCTCTCCCCACTCCGCTTCCCATGCCAATACTTTTTGCAACATTATTATTTCCTGTACTATTCTCTGTAACTATTTAGTTACTCGTTTTCTATAATTATTTTCTGTCGTTGCTTACTTTTCAGTTATTTTTAAGACGATTCTGAATTCGGATTTTGCCGACAATTAGCGACATCGTGCGTTAAGATTTACGCGGATTTGGATCGGCCGACATCGTACCGGCCAATTGTAGCGCTAACGTATCCACTGGCGAGCACGTGCCGTTCGCTCAGACGCAAATATTTGTGAATTCAGGGTTATCGTTGCTACTCGCCCGGGTTACTGCCAATTCATAAACGCGACCGTGTGACAATTTCAAAACAATGTTTGGAGATGTTTCAACGTAATCCAGATGAATTTATGCGTCGATTCATTACTGTGGACGAAACATGGATACATTACTTCACACCCGAGGCGAAGGGACAATCAAAACAATGGACTTCACCGGATGAACCAGCTCCGAAGAAGGCAAAGACCGTGAAGTCGGTCGGAAAGATGATGACCAGTTTTGGGATGCACGCGGTATAATTCATATCGATTATCTTCCGTCGAAGCAAACGATCAACGGTGATTACTACGCAGCCTTATTGGATCGTTTCAATAACATTTTAAAGAAAAAACGTCCCCATTTGGTGAAGAAAAAAGTACTCTTCCATCAAGACGATGCATGGGTTCACACGTACCCGGCACCGATGGCCAATTTCAACGAATTCCGCTACGAATTGCTTCCCCATCCAGCATATTCGCCAGATTTAGATCCTGCGACTATTTCCTGTTTCCAAACCTGAAGAATTGGTTCGGAGAAAAGAGATTCATCATCAGAAAGCAGCTCATCGACGAAATAGAGGCTTATTTTGAATGGTTGGGCAAATCATATATATGTATTATTCGGACTGCTTGAAAATGTTGGAGAATCGTTGGATCAAGTGTATCGATCTGAAAGGAGACTATGTTGTGAAATAAAAATGAATCGATCAAAAAAAATGTGTTTTACTATGTTTTCCAAAAACTTATTGACTTGCCTTCGTACAATATGAATGCGTCCGGAAATCGTATTGCGCATTATGACATGTGTTTTGAACAGACATCGAATCAGATTGTAAAGCTTCGTGCATCGGAAGGCTTCATGCATTTAATATGCACTTTATCACAGCCTACTCTTTCATACATTTTAACGCATTCGTCAATGTTAAATTAATTTTTATTATATTGTAGAAATTTTTCACATAACATATAAAATTATATTTAGCATATAAAAATAAATTAACAAAGTGAATTTTGTTTCTTGTGAATTCGGAATATTGAAATACGTATAGTGTTACAAATATAATCAAATATAGAGTATTCTCTCTCTATAATAAAAAGAGATTTTAATCTTTCTTGAAAATCTCCAGTTTTAAAATGAAATATATATAGCAAATTATAGTTAGAAACAAATGTGTATACACATTTGTGTGGAACATGACGCACTCAATCGTTTTTTTTTAACTATCATCAGGTTCTGTTCAGTTAGAAATACGACTTTTGTATGTACAATGGAAAAAAAATACAGGTAGACGCTGACACGGAATATTTAAATGCTGTCACAATTTAAATTCTACAACTGAGTACTTTTAATCAATATTTTGATCTTTAAATCAATATTTTTATTTTTTTCCTCGTAAACAGAGACATTGAAAGACATTCTTCTAGATTTTTATTCGAACTATTCGAAGCAATACGAGTATCAAGCAATCAAATTTTGTGCGAAATTGCGCTTTCATGCACGTACGACACTGTCAACATGACTACATTGTTACATAATCGTTTTATATCGTATAAAATCGATGAAATTGCTAGTTAATTGAACGATTCTGTCGAATGAACCAGTTATCTTGATATTTGGAAGCCTTCAGGTGTAACCATTTTATATTTGAAGAATACGATTGTTAAAACGCGTATATGCGCATTTTGACAACGTCGCGTATAACGAGAAATATCGCAAAAAGTGTAATTGTAGTTTATTGATTAACTTCACAATTCTTTTGTTACATTTATTCATTATCTGTACCTATATACAGATGTGGAAACAATTTGAAATAAAAACAAAGTATACATAAGAAAATTTAAAAACACAAATATAAGTTTCTGCAAAATATATTTAAATTTATGTGTTTCACAAACATTTACCAGGTGTACAAGTATGAAATGCGGATTTAAAAAAAAAAAAAACACATTAAATTCGTAAGAATGATAAAAAGGGGTTTATTCAAAATATGCTCCATTGCTAGTTACACATTTTTCTCATCTTTCGGATAATTTGTGACCACGCCAGTAAAAATCTTCTCCTTTTTCCGCGAACCATTCATTGAGCCATTTTTTCACATCTTCGTACGAACCAAAGCGATGCTCAGCAAGTGCGTGATCCATCGATGCAAACAAGTGGTAATCGGAGGGAGCCAAGTCGGGTGAGTAAGCCGCATGGGCTAGCACTTCCCAGCTGAGTGTTTCTAACGTGTCGCGAACCGGTTTTGCCGTATGTGATGGAGCATTGTCATGGAGAAAAATGATTTTGCGTTGCCTTTCTCCATATTCTGGTCGTTTTTGGAGTAGCGAACGGTTCAAATCGATCAATTGTTGTTGGTAGCGTTTGGTATTACCGTTTCAGCAGGCTTTAACAGCTCATAATAGACCATACCCTTCTGGTCCCACCAAACACAGAGCATCGTCTTCTTGCCAAAGCGATTCGGTCTTGCGGTTGATATGGATGGTGCGCCTGGGTTTACCCATGATTTTTTGCGCTTGGGATTCTCAAAATATATCCACTTTTCATTCCCAGTAACGATACTATGCAAAAACGACTTTCTTTTGTATCGTTCGAGCAAAATTTCACATGTGTTTTTACGCCTCTGCATCTGCCTTTCGTTCAACTCATGCATCTGCCGACTTTTTGAATCTTTCCCATCTCTCGTAGGCGATTGGAAACAGATTGTTGACTAACGCTCAATTGCTCTGCGAGTTGTTTTTGTGTTTGTGAATCGTTTTCGTGTTCCTTGTCTTATAACATCGAAATCACCACTTTTGAAACGTCGAAACCATCGTTCACACGTATCTTGCGATGGAGCATATTCACCACAAGCTTATCGAAGTAATCGGTATGATTCAGTTTTCTTCAAATAAAAACAAAAAATTAATGCTGTCCGCGAATGCTCTTTATTTGGCACAAATTTCGACATATTGAACACAGCAAAAAAATACTATGCAGACACTTTTTCAATTTATCACTTATGCGCGTTTGACACTTGTTGATGGCACAACAAAATGGCATTTACGTCAAATCTTTATACTACACACTGCATTGGTGCACCATCTGTTGTCTCAAATCCGCACTTCATGCTTGTACACCTGGTATATTAAATTAGCTTCCCCAATTTAACTGATATTTATTTATTAAATTATGAAAAGATAATTCTCTTGCCGTTAAGAAGAAAGCAGGTAGAATTAACCTTGTTTGTACAAAATATGTTTTATTTCAGTTAAAATAGATTCTTGTTGAAATTTTTGTGTTAAATTTTCCACACTAAATTTAACATTTCTTAGTATATTGTTGCGATTTTTATTTCTTAAGTAACTAATAATATATAAAAATATTAAAAAATTTTAAAATATTAAAAAATTCTAAGTTATTAGATGAATAAAATATATTTGTTAACTTAATATTTATACACATCTTAGGGAGGGCTTCGTTTGACCACAAAACGATTGCCTACAGCTTCGCCGTCTTGTGTGCAATGTGTTGTGTACAAAAATGACGTGTGTGCAATACGCTGTGTGCAAACGAAGCTGTAGGCAATCGGGATCCTCCCCACATCTTATATAACACCTATCTTCTTTAAAAATTTAAACGTATTCTTTTTATCATTATTATTCATCCACATTATTCTTATAATTGGTGATATTCGATGCTAGATTGGTAATTCGCTTATTGCGATCTCGTCAAAAGATATGGAATCTGGAAACTCCGTATTTAATGTACAAGAATAAGAAAGAATTCCAAATCTCGAATGCGTATAATAACACAATTAATTTATACACCGATATAATAAAATTACATTAAATTTTTAATAACATTTTCGGCACGCGATTGGGGGAACTACATACGTACACGGTATATAAAATTCACACATTATTATAAGCATTGTGATCTAGCGTTGACCGTTTATAGGCTTTGCTTCGTGCTTTCTTCTTCTTATTATTGTTCGTTTATCAATTGTACAGTCGTAAAAAGATTCTAATATTTGTTAAATTTTTAAATTATACATTTCTTGATTCTTATATTTTTACGGTTCTTAACTTCTTTTTGTAGGATCACGCTCGGTAAATTTTCATGAAATTATTGTTAACATCTAGCAATTATTATTATTTTATGTTATATACAATTAATTTTTATGTATTGATAATGGTTAAAACTTGACCGAAACGTTATCTTTGTAATTTTTTGAAAAATATATTTTGCTTTTATGACATCTTGCGGCTGTATGCTTATTTCTATTTATGTTAATATTCATATATTATGATTATTAATTTCATTTAAAAAATGTATCTCCGCAATTTTTTTCAAATTACATCAAAATGTTACATTTGTGCGTTAATTTTTTATATAATATTTGTGTTAATTTCTGATATGCATCTCGAGTTAAATATTAAAATTTTGATTGGACTATTATAATTACAAAAATTTTAGGGCATATGTCAAATTTAACATAATTTGCTAACTATAATAAATATTACTATCTTCCGTATAACGTATTCCATATAACAATAATAACGTAGAGTGTAATGAGGGAAGGAAGTAAAATTTTATAGTTCATTGGCGATATGATTTTTGTAAGTTAATCGTAAAATCTCGTATAGCATGCGAAAGAAATGAAATTGATAAAAATTTTCTTTGGAAACGTTTCCTCGAGCACTCGATGTAGCAAGGTAAAATGTAATTTCTCTTTTCTAGGGTCTCTGTGTGGCTGTGCTTTTTTGCTTTTGCAACGGCGAGGTAAGTTTCCATGACTACGGAAACGATCGTTTCTGTCTTCGAAGTAATTTTTGTGCTATGTAATGATATTTTCATTATGTGTGTGCCAGGTAATAGCGCAATTCAAGAGGAAGTGGGATGGCAGCGCCCTTTTACGAAAACGAGCCAATTCCTGCACGGCCACAACAGTCTCGGTATGCAGTATTGACGAACAGAGAGTACGGTGTTCTTGCAATTGAATCTATTTAAATGACGCTTAAGCTTCTCACCTCCTTTGTTCGACACCCATCGAGAAATAAGACTCGAAGGAAGAACCAGGTGGATTAAGAGAGAGTAGCAGAAAACCCGTTTCGTGGAATTGAATTTTTTATTTTCCAAATTGAGGATTAATTCAAGAGCCTTTGGAATCTTTTTGTTCTCTCCTATTATCGGTTTTCTATTACTTTGTACAAGTGATTAGATTCTACTAATCTTTTCAATTCATTGGCGATAAAATATAGCTACATCATAATTTCTCTTCAGAATTACATCATATTATTTCAATATGGAATGGAAGGAAAACATTCATTATTATATATTTTACAATTCTTTTTTACGAAAAATTTTAATAATTGAATTTAAAAAATTTAATTTAAAAAAATTAATGTCAATGCGGAATGTTAGAGTTTAACTTATATTACAAACCAACTTTTTCGGGAAGGTACCTCAGCCACTCGTTTCTCCACTCCCTCTCACAAAAAGGGATGTGTTCTAATGAGCGTGGTGGATATAGAGCATTTTTACTACCACACCCTCTAAATATCATGAAGAAAATTTAAAGTTCTTATTGAAATTTTTTTGATTATCCTAATCAAGTTTATTTTTGACACTATTCACTTTTGGCTAAAATCTTTATTAAAACAAAAGACACTTAAACAAATAGATTCCACAGAACCAAAGAATGATGAGAAAGAAAAAACCACATAGTTTACAATTCCATTTTTTTCTCATCTGAAAAATTTAATAACTATTTAAAGTTTATTAGTTAAGGAAGTTTTTTGGAAAGTTTTAACTCTTCAAATATTATGGCTGTAAAGTAATAACGATTTATATGTTGATCCGATTACGTAGCGCGCTGCGTGGAACGCAAAAGTTCGAGCCGTTCGCTTCCGCGAAACGTAGAATAGTATCTCATTGCATACAACGGAAAGGAGTATGTTTATATTCGCTAATAGATTAAAAAATACGCTATTGTCATCAATTTTTATTGACAATTTTATTCATATGATATTCTAATTCTTATTTTGTAACTATAAACAATTAAAAAGTCGAAAAAGATTTTGAAAACCCTTAAATATATTATGTTTTGATACACACACACGTATTGCGCGCAGCGCGCTACATAATCGGATCGACATATAAATCGTTATTACTTTACAACCATAATATTTAAAGAGCTAAAATTTTCCAAAAAACTTCCTTAACTAATAAACAAAATTGTAGTACGTACCGGTAAAAGTTGACAAATCGAAAATTCGTACGATAACTTTTGTGATCGAATAAATAAAACTACGAAATTTGGCATTTGGCTGTTTTCGAAATGTTTCAAAAACTTTTTATATGTTCTATATTTCGAGAAACATATTGAAGTTTATCCTGTTAAAATTTCAAAGAAAAATATTCATATTTGGCTGAGATATGGCGAGTTAAACATAAAAATCTATTGAAATTTTTTCATAAAAAAATTATTTTTTTGTTTATAACTTGAAAACAAAAAAAAATTACAAATTTGATTTAAAAACAAAAAAATTCGCTATGAAATTTTCTACAAGAATCAGTCGTCAAAATTGAAATTAGAGCGATGTCTAAAATTAGCCCTGCGGTCAATACTATCCCGCGAAATCCACGCGTATCCCCTTATAGAATCCAGCCCCTCAATTTTATAAATCGTACATTAATACACAATCATATAAGGTAATCTTATTCATTGTTTAATTTAATTGATATTAAATTAACAAAAATTAATATGATGTATAATATGTTTTTCACTCAATCTAATTTTCTACTAAAGTCTTCTTTATATCTTCATTTTTACATTATATTAATTTCATTTTATTACGTTACTATTTGACTCTCTTTACGTTATATTCATTATTTTATTATTTAACTCTCTTTTCTACATTACGAATGTATTTTTATTTTTTAACAGAAACAATTATTTCGTTCACTATCTACAGACTTTCACACATTACATTTATTAACCAGACGATTCTCACTATAATGTACCGAAATAAATACAACGTCAACTATGCGAGTGAGATTGTATACTTATATTTATATATATTTTTTATATTTTTTATAATTTTATAACTTCGTACATTTGTTAATAACTTGCGATCATTGTAATATTGATAATGACCTAATATAGAGGTTAAAACGTTTGTTGTCTATGTCTTATTTCTAATGAAACTACGTAATTTTAACTAAATGACAATTTTTATTTACTAACAATTGTATATTTTAACGACTCGTAGCTCTTTTCTTTTTCATTATTTTTCAATTTATTGAGCCTTATAAAAAAAATTAATTATGTTTCAAAGAGTATATTTGTAACGATTTTGGAATTTATAAGAAACGAATGTGTGTGTTCATCAATTTCTCTCAATCCACCGATTCTTCATTCGTGAGTACAAGACTTCATTTGAAGATGCTATAATAGTAATCTAGAAAATACCAGAATGTAACTATTCGATGTTACCTAACGGGGGGAATAGTAATGGAGAACGCTCTTGCAATTTTAATGCAATTTTAATCTGCGTTTAACGCTCGAGAGAGAGAGAGAGAGAGATTTTCCTGACTGGAAATTCCCGTATGCACGACTCGTCAATGGTGCGATGCGGGCTAACACACATGATCGGTCCCTCTCCTGCAACTAATCCACCCGCGTGCTAACCCACACGCATACTCACTAACTCACGTGAAGTAGAGTGCGGCCGTTTTAGTAAGGTGACGCCACAACGGGTTGCACTCTTTGAGTAATACTCAAAGGTTGCACTAGTCATGCCATCGACGGGAAGGGAAGAAAGAGAGAAAATGAAATGGGTAGGAAAAAAGGGAAAAGAAACATACATTGTATATAATATATATATCATATATATGATCCGTCCGTATCGTGCCAGTGACAGCAACGTGCCCGAGTCGAGTCCATTATGGAACGTTGACTGTTTCAGTTTATCCGCTCGACCGCAGGTCCGATGGCGGGAGAGGAGAAGGTGTGACTATCAACCGGCAGCAGCGGTGCCGAGGGATGACTGCAATAAGCGATTGGCGAGTGAAGATCAACAACTGCAGCAGACCGTGCAGGTGATCGCCGCAGGCCGGTTAGGCAATCACGGCAACAACAACCACACGCAGGTGCTTATCAAACGCGGTGGCGACGACGACGATTTCTCCCACGACGAGTACAATCAGACGCAGTGTTGATAATCGGATCGACCGGATCAACACCGGGAATGATCGTGCTATGGGACCACGTAGAAGATCACTTTCTCTCTCTTTATTTGCCTCTTATACCGGCCACTTCGCAAGATAGTCGACAGCGGAATTTATCGATTCGTGATTCACAAATATGTTATTAGTTGGAAACGATAAACCCTACAAAGAGGTAATGATAACAATAAACGCGGTGTAGAGAAATATTTATATATAAGGTGAATATATCTTACTTTTAGTGCATATGACCCAAATTGGATGAAATAATGAAAATTTAAAATATTATAATCTTTTACAATATGTAATATACAACATTAAATAAATTCATTAATAAAATTTTTATAAACAACGAATTTATTTAAAGTTGTACATATCATTAAATATAATATGTTTAATATAATATAATTATAAATTATATTATTACAATATTATATTATATTATGTTATTTTTATTTTTATTATTATATAATACTATGTTTTTAATATTTAAAATTTGTCATTTTATTCGATGACTGTTCACGAAATTATATTTATCTTAGGTATAAATATTTTATTTCCTAAGCATAATATGTATAATTATTTGGAATAATTTCTCTGTCATTATATGTACGATTCTATGTAGCATTACAGAAAGAAAAGTAATGTAATAGAGTAATTTAAATTCGCATCAAATATTCGCATAAATCTTTTTATTTTTTAAACAAAAAAAATATTTAACGAAAAAGACATGACCGTATTGCTGCTCCGCTCCACTGTTCAAATGAAGCTTGGAAAAGATCAAAGATATTTTATAATATAAATACTTCTGAAATATAGAGGTCTAAGTCCTAAATTCAAGAAATTTGCTATAGGGATCGAAAAGCTCTAAAAGTTTCATGTATTTTCTTAAAAGGACTAATTTACGCTCACCTGTTGCGAAGATAGGTACAAATGAAGCAATTCTAACAGATCTAATTTTTATTACGTAACGAGAATTTCATCTTTCTAATATAGATAGAAATGTTTATGTTTACAATTTATTCATTTGATGGGGAGGAAAATTCATATCAATATAATCACACGGTTGTTGTTTTTATACTAACGAGGAATTTGTTCGTGTGTTGTTTAAAGGGAATAAAATTAGTGTTAATGTTTCTCTTGCCAATATTAAATGTGAGTCACGCAATCTATATATGTTTTAACATCTATGTGACATTATATAAAGGTATCGATCGACTGTTTATATTAATATTCATTGTTCGCAACGCAATCGTAAAAACAAGAAATTCTGTAATTAGAATAATTAGAAAATGTTGATATGGTATTATATGTACATATTAGTCTTAATTGTATTATGTAGAGTAAATGGCATAACTGTAAAAATCACGAGTAAAGTGAATTAAATTTTTAAGAATGAGTCTATAATTTTAAAAAGTATTTCACAAAGTTTCAAAGAGCTCAAAGTAATTACAAAAGAATTTCGATTATTTTCAAGAATCCTGAAAAAAAAAAAACATCTCCAAATTTAAATAATATATTAAACGAAACTCAGGGGTACGTTTCAGACATTTTCGAAATTTTAAACTGTTTTTTCAATAGAAATGACAATGGCCAAGTATTTATTTTCTTTGTACAATATATGATCATAATAGCATACAATCGTTTTTGTTACGTGTGTAATGTGTCGATTGTAAACAATCCTATACAAAGTAAAATGTGAATATTATATATGTATGTATACATAGCATGTATATCTTAATGCTTGCAAGAAATTGATATCTTTGCAAGTAGAATAAATCTCAAGAAAAATATTTAGAAAATTTAATATATTTTGTGCGGAAGGATATAAATAAACTAATCAGCTTGATGTGTAATTCCTTTTTTGAATCACCATTCTTATATGAAGATTAAAATATAATAGTAAAGATAAAATTAGAATATCAAATAATAAATATAATTGAGTGCTTTATAAAAAAACTTTTAATGAGTATTTACATGTCACACGAATAAGAAAATTACAATCAACTTCCTTCATAGATTTGCTTTGTCAAATTAGAGTAATTTTATTGATGAAAAGTTCTTTATGTAGACCAAAACATAAGCTCTAAGATCCAACACATATATTTCCTCGCTTTTGATACTGCATTTAGGATGACCGAATTAGGCACAAGTTTCCGGCCTTTAAGGCTCTGAACTAGTTTGCTGCAGCTATATTGAATTATAACGGCAAGAAATCAGACATGATTTCTTTTTACAGCATATATCTAAATAAATGAAGCATTTTTTCCGAGGAAAATGAGCAATCTTAACTTATTTATTGTTAACTGATACATTTCATTGTTCGTTTACATTTTAGAAAGTTAATTTGCTTTAATAATTTTTAAGTTCGTATATTGCATATATTTACGTAATTTGTATTCACCGTTGAACTTTCGCTTTAAAAAAATCGATTCTAAATTCTATCATTATAGAAAAGATAGCATTAGAAATCGTATGCAATGTATATACATATGTAATTTTATATACATATATATATATATATATATATATATATGTGTATATATACATAGTTACTAATTTATGCCTTTACGAGAAAGGAAATATATTTGGAAAGGATAAAAGAAGAAATTCATTTTGTAAAAACACATGGAGAATAATTATTGTAATCTGTGAATTGTGAACAAATATAGAGAATGATAATTTTGTGATAAATTATACATGTAATATCCCCTTCGCATGTCTGTATTACACAATACATATGATTCACGTTCCATTCGTGCAGCAGAGCAAAGAAAAGCTTCGGACATAATATTCACATTGATGTTGACTCTATTTCTGTCTCGTTAATTTTTTTTTGTTACACGCGATTAGTTTTTCCAGACAAAACAATTTTCATGCACGATTGTGTAAGGCAAATTCATGTACAGTTCGGCTGAATATGTAAATAACATACATTCATAAATTATGAGTGTACTTTATTCTTATAATCACTCTATAAACTTAAAATGCAGCAATAGTCGCATTTATTGGCATTAATCGTAAATATTAGTAACTGTTATATAAAAAAAAGTTTATAAACTGTGTGAAAATACTGCAACGCGATATACGTATATCTATAAATATTATGGATTTTAAATAAACATACACACATATATATACATGTTATATACGTAGGTACATATATATGTACAAATACAAACGTACATACATATACATACGTACAAAAACATGTGTATGTATAACAACACATACTTCTTTAAAATCATAATATTTAAGGATAGTATAAATTTTCATATTTACGATATTTAAATATTTTTCTAAATGACCGTCAACAATATTGGCACAATTACAATAACCAGGGCTTCCCAAAACAATAGTAATTTTTTTAAAGCAATTTTAGCACGAGAAAAATAGTAATAAAAATTCTCCAATTATTAAATTCCAAAGCAATAGAGGTGTAGTCGCTTCGCGTGAATGCAATAAGTTCCGCCCCTCCTGCGGGGGGGAACTCCACTACTGTTAAAAATAACCTAACCCAACTCATTTGTTGGTGTAAGATAGCTGTCGCTTTGCGTAAAAAGTCGAAACCCATGTAGCTAAACTCAATAAATATCCTAGGTATTTATTTCGTCGCAATGTATATAATTGAAAAGCACGCTAATATGGTTCACGTTTTTCTAAAAGAAACGCGTGGAAAGTTGCAATCTCACACGATGGTAAGCGTAAATAATAATAATAATTGTAGAATTGAAATTCAGTTATTTTTGTATCTATTCGTAGAATTTTTTTTTTACTATTTTTCTCGTATTCCTATCTATAAATGCTTCTCAAAATCGCTTTCATTTTGAGGGGCCCCGGTTATCGTAATCGCCTCACAATTTTTATCCCGCCGCCCTCCCTTTGCAATATCAAGTAGATCGTTCACATGCAATCGCATAATACGGATAGCAAATCAATGGTTTTCCTTCGTAAAGAGCCTAATGTATCTTAAAAATTACTTTGGAATGAATATATAATAAATAATAAGAAAAAAAAAAAAAAGAGATCGCTGACATGTTAGAAATCGATAAAGATGAACGCTATCTCTAAAAATTTAACTGTTTAAATCTAATTTTGTGTCAGTACGTGTCTATAAAAATTGCGAGATTAAAAAAATCTCAATCTAAACACAATACGACGATTCTCTCTTCCATTAATATTCGATTCTTAATTGAAAACATTCGATAACACTAAATAATTCAGGAAATCTGTAAGACGGTTAAAGTATCATATAATACAAAGCAATTATCATCGCATTAATCTCAACTAATTGTTAATATTGTATTTGTAATTGAGGTACGCTTTTTTTCTTTAATATATAAGTCTGCAATCACATCTGTCGCGTTTATACACTCGTGCACTCGCTCACGTACAAACACACTCGCATTACATAACTGTACAGTTGATTATTTAAAGCTATTAATTCACATTAATTCCTTTTATTTTTTCTTTACTTCCATAAAAAATATAGCAAGTGTGTACTACATCTTCGTTATACTAAGAAAAAGAATCCTGAAAAATAGAATGCTAATAAATCTTGACATAAAATATGTATAGTATTTGCTTGTTATAATATCCGACTTTTTTTTTTATAAATCTAATTCGATTTTAATAGTTCTGTCATCGCTCGCTAATAAAATCAATTTGCACAGAAAAACACCAGAAGTTGATTTGCAAAATTTATTTGGAGAAATTAGATATTTATGTGACCGTGTACAAGTGTCACTTTAAAAATAACGCGTTTTATTAAATGTTTTTTAATGTTTAGATATTTTTTTTAATTAAGAGAGTCTTACTTTTTGTATTTTTTATTTATTTACTTTTGTAGCCCCTTCCTCTCCCTCTCTTTCAAAAATGATTAAAATTATTATTTAAGACAATAAATTGTACAATTTGAAAAAAAGAAATGATTATGACGTGGTTTGTAGATTTTGATCCTTCTAGCATCAATGACAGAACTAAGAATGATCACATAAATTAAGTTCATAAATTCGTGACCTCTACTATCTAGTCTAGCGGATGGTATTTTATGTGAATAGTCGGAACATATTATTGTCAAAATAAGTGTTATACCGATATAAATAAACGATACTTATAACAAATCGTTGATATCTAATATCGAAAACTAAAAAAAGACACTGTAAATTATAATTTTTACAATAATCTAAACATCATATATATATTATATATATATATACACACACACACACACCACACACGCGCGCGCACGCACGCACGCACGCACACACACACACACACACACACACATAGTAAAATGGTTAATAATTCAAAATCGTATTATTTTCCGAAACGATTAATCGGAAGCTTGCAACATCTCGCAAGTGAATGAAGGCAAAGCCCCTGGCAGATCAAAGAAAACAAAACGTTTTCCGTTGAAAATTGTCTCGTAATTTACTCTTTCTCTTTCTCCTTCCTCCTCCCTTTTTCTCTTTCTTATTTACGCAGTCTATTAAAAATTTTCCAAAGCTATAAGCTATAAACTTATTCTACTATACAATATTCATTTTTCAAGGTACATATGTATGTAATTTCTTTTTATAAGGATCTTAATTTCATATTAATTATCTTATACTTTATTACAGAATTATTATTCTAGCTCTCTCTCTCCCCCCCCCCCCCCCTCTCTCTGTTTTGGCACTCATGTGCTACTGTTTTTGCACATCACTATTTGTCTCCTCGATATCATCCTGCATACTATCCTCATCCTCCGATATATCCTGAATGTAGGATATATTACCTTGCATTTCATCCGTCTGCATAATGTCAGTTTCGTTTTGCGTTGCGTAATCTTCTTCCTCGATCTCATAAGTGTTCTCGGGATAAATATACTGCGCCGTTTCGGCATTAGAGTCCTCGTTATCGATATCTAACACGTTTTGTTCTATCAAAATTTGATTACCTTCCGCATCATTAGTTACCATTAACACAGTTCCGTCCAAATTATGCACCTCATGCACTGGATTGTTTCCATCATCTTCTCTCACTACGTTCTCATCCACAGAATCTTCCTCGAAGTCATCGCCTTCGTTTATTTCCATTTTTACATACTCATCAAGTTCTTCACTTTTCTCCACATCCCTGTTTCCAACATCGGAGTTGCAATCGCCATTGTTGATTACGTTATCATCCAAATTCTCGTCCCATGTTACGGGTAGATCATTGTTATTAGCTGCAAAGAAGTTGTCTGTGTCATTTGGTGTTTCGCATTCCTCTAGATGTTTAGCCATACTCAGCGAAATCATTGGACTAAGCTTATGTCTAGTGCGATCTGTCGTACCGCTATACTCCTCAGATTCGTTTTCTGGTAACAAAGGCATTATTGGACTTAATACAGGCGGTCCATCGTCATCATCTTCATCATCCTCTTCTTCCTCTTCTTCTTCTTCCGCTACAACTTTATCTTCAGCGTCAGCATCAGCCTCATCTTCATCTTCATCCTGATCATCATCTTCTTCCTCTTCTTCATTTTCGTTATTTTCCTCATCATTTTCTTCGTTATCATCATCATCATCTTCGTTATCAGAGTCTACATCACTCGTTACAGTTTTAGCATGTCGCAGCTTTACGACACGAAAGGCCTCAAATTTGTCGGTACTCATATTTCCCGGTGCGTTAGAAATCAAAAGATCATTTAAATTACTCGGTTTAGTCTGTTCTACAACCATTGTTATGGATGTAAGATCGGTTTTCTGATCCTTGAAATTTGTCTCTATTGGCATATTCTCTCGAATATCGTTACTATGTATTCTGAATCTATTAACATCGTTCAATTGTACAGTTTTCTTTTCCGTCGCGTCTACTTCCGTTTCATCTATATCCGATTCATCGTCGCTATCGGAATTACATGATGATATACTATCACCGCTCGCTCTACTAGTAGTATCGGATTCATTTTCATTTCCTTCTTCCTTCTCCTCCCCCTTCTCTTCCTCTTCTCCTTCTTCGTTTTCGTCTTCGCTTGAACTACTATTACTATCACTGTCTGAATCATCACTATTTTCCGAATTATTTTCTTCGCTATTTTCCGAATTATCTTCGTCTTGGATATCCCTACTTCTTTCACCTTCTGATTCGTAATCAGCTTCCTCAACTTCCTCTGTTTCCTCAATGACTGATGTCTCGTCGGCGATTAAACTGCCCTTCTCGTCGTTGTCATTCTTTGCATTATCTTCATCTGCCACCGTGTTATTCTCAAACTCTGATTTGCCATTGCAGTTCGTCGCATGCTCGATAAGTTTTTCGTCACTTGCAAAACCTTGCTGACATTTTTGACACCGAAAGTTCCCAATATGGATGCTCATGTGTAACAGCAATTTACTTCTCGCGTTATGATATCTACCGCATGTTTTGCAAGTGAAATTATTACCCTCCGGCGATAAAACTGGAGCATGCTCAGCCTTCAAGTGGTCGGCTAAGTCTTGGTAAGATTTACACAGCTTCAAGCATACGCCACACGTAACAGCAGCTTCGGCGCGATGGAAACGAATTAAATGTTGCCACAGATGCTTCTTGGCGGGCCATTGTTTACCACAAACTTCACATGTACACTCGGTATTGGTCGATTCATCATATACCTTGCGCGAGTCTTTTCTCGAGCATTTGCCGTTACTCGCCGCCTTCATCTGCGACAATGGCATAAGATTCGGCACAGGTTTCTGGGCTGACAATTGTAAATTGATGTCTTCGAATAGATTGAAGTCGGGAATATTCAAGTTAGATTCGTTCGTAAGCGGTGCCGGTTCTTCTCGTTGATTGTTGTTTTTTAGATGAGATTCTAGAATTGATGTTGGAACATTATTCGGCATGTCAAATCTACCTATTGAGTTTCGTCGTGTACATACATTTATGTGATTCCAGAACAGAGTCTTGGTAGAGAATTGCTTTTTACAATTCTTGCATTCAAAGTTATTTCTATTTCTCATCTTGCGCTTATTATCGCTATTATCCTTTCTGAATTTCTTGAACATACGGACGGGATCTGTATTATGGACGTTCTGATAATGCTTGGCGAGAGTGTCTGAATTTAGGAAGATCTCGGGACACATTTCGCAATCATACGTATCATTTGGCGATCTACGTTTGCGAGAATCATTCGAACTTTCGTCACATATTTCTTCGTCAAACTCCAAATCATCCGGTTCCTCCTTGACAATAATATCAAGAGTATCGCAACCTTCCCTCTTTGCACCAATATCCATTCTATATTCGAAAATAGCTAATTGGTCCTTTGGGACGTTATGCACATATTCATAGTGATCGCGTATATCATTCTCATCCGTAAAAACAGCTAGACACTGTTTGCACGTGAGAAAAACTTTGCCATGACACTTCTTCGTGTGATCAAAAGCCTTCCATTTGGATGCATATTGCTTACCACATACCTGACACGTGTTTGGATGAGAAAGAACGCTGCTATGCACCGCTTCGACGTGTTTTTTTAAATCTTTAGGATCTTTCATCGGAATGAGACAGACTCCACAAGATACACCGATCTCATTTCGATGCAATGATAATACATGCATCTTCAATTTTAATTTATTTTCTACGGTGTCACCGCAAAAATCACAAACGTTCGGATTGCTATGATATTTGTGATCTTTTCGATGAGATTCCAGATCTTCCTTGGTGCGAAAGAGTTTTTTACAGCTCTGGTAGTCGCACGTCAAATCCGGATGATCCATATGATTGATACGATTGTGTGTCATGATGCCCAGCTTAGAAGTGATTGTCTCATTACACAAATGACAAGTATATGTGGTATGATGATTCTCAATATGTTTCTGCAGACTCGCACGATCTTTGAATATCCTCTCGCAGGCACGGCAACGAGTTAACAATGCCCCAGGATCCTTACGATAGTTTTGACAGCCCTTCATGTGACGACGAAGCAAGTAACGTTTATGGAATCCCTTGTTACATTTCTCGCAATAATGCAAAACACCATCGTCTGTATTCAAAGACTTGGAAGTAACGCAGTTTTGATTGTCCTTACTCACTGCGGGCATAAACCTATGAATTTTTGCAATATGTGCTGCCAGATGATCCCTTGACGCGCTTGTCTTTGCGCAGTAAGGACAGGTCACATCTGTATGTCCTTTGTGCACCCTATTCACATGTTTCCATAAGTGTGATGTTCTTCCGTAACATTTGTTACATAAATCGCACGGGAAAAGATTGTGCGTTATCCGTCGATGATTACACAAACTGTCCAATGTCGTGAAACTGAGTTCAGGGCACTGTTCGCAATGTAGTTCTATTTCTGAAGCACCATTATTATGATCAGGTTTCACCGATTCATTGGTCGTTTCATTAAAACTGTTATTATCGCATGCAGCATCCATAGCCGCCTCCAAACCATGGATCTTTCTATGCCGAGACATTTTCGATTTATTGGAATATGGTCTACCGCAAATATCACAACAGAAATCGCCACTGGTTAATGGCCAATGTTTCGCCTTGACGTGTACACTCAATTGCATAACATCGGAGAATACTTTCAAACAAACGCCACAAATTAGAGGCACTGTGTCCGCATGTACGCCCATCACGTGTTTCCAATAATCGACACGAGTAGGCCATAATTTTCCACATATCTCACAGGTGTTTGGCGAGGGCCCTTGTATCGCATGATGCTGAAGATGTTCATTACGTAACGATTTTGTTGCAAATATCTTTCCGCAACTTTCCAATTCACACTAGAACAATATGGACAAAATTAGATTAATGTATAAAGCAACGCAATAAAAATAAGCTTTCTTTCGTTTCTCAAACTTACTTTAATAGAAAGTTCGTTGTTGTGTGTGTTGTTGATATGCAACCAACGTTCCCATTTGCTCGAATGTGAACTACCACATACCTCGCAAACGAAAAACAAATGATACTGCGCTCTATTACCATTGCCATTAACATTTAGAGTATTTCTACTACCCGTAGCATCCCCCAACGAAATCTGGTCAGACTGTAACAAAAGAAAACAAAATTAAAAAATTGATATGCATTTTTACAATACATTAATTGCATCGCTATATTACCTTATGAGCATTTCTCTGATGCCGTATAAGATGATCCTCAGTAGGAAAAGATTTATAACAAATGTAACAATCAACTTTTTCGCCATCTTCTCCTTCGAAATCTAATACTTGTTCATTGCCTTCGTTACCATTTAAGTTTTCATTATAGTAATTACTGTTCATTTGTACAAAAATTGCTGGATCATAGGCAGGATCGACATTGTGTATCGAGACATGAGTGATTAGCTTTTTTCTCGAGTCATGCTGTCTACCACATATCTTACAACTATACCTGCGTCCATAATCGCATATTTATAAACATTGATTTATTATTATTTCATATAATGCATACTAGCGTATAGTTAATCACATGGACTAGCGTAAAAAGAAAATAGACGATATAGAATGTAATTATACCTTCTTTGTTCCGAGATTAAAAGCTTAGATCTTCCGTGGTACATAAATACATGATTTTGAAGTTGTGTATTATTAAAGCACATCTTTAAACACACTCCACAGGTAAATGCTGCATATTCCTTATGCATTGCTCGTATGTGCAGCCATAATGACGCTCGATCATTAAAATCTCGCTTACAAGTCTCGCATACAAATACCGTTTCGATTTCTATATTCTCATGGTTATTCTTATAATCCTTGTCATCATTTTCTAAATTTATCTATTTAACGTAATAACATAACATACTGTAACGTCTTTATTACATAATAAAAAGTACAAAATTAAAAATTTACCTCAGGTGACGACGAGAGCTCTGGTAATTCTTTTATTTCACTTTGCTCGTAAACGCTGACGTCCACTCGATTATTCCAATTTTGAGACATGACTGTTGCCTTTAGACACTTATCACTGTCAATGATAGGTGTAGGATCAACACCATGTAATACTGTAATGTGCCTATTTAATGAAGATTTCAAAACAAAATCTTTGTTGCATAGTATGCAAATATATGGCTTTTCGGCATCGTGTCTAATTTCATGTTCTTTTAAATTATCCACTGATGTAAAACTTTGTGGACAAGCTTCACAATACCATATCTTCTGAGGATTTGCCTCGCCTTCTTCTAAGTAACGATACATTTAAAATTAGGTGATTTTTTAATTCTATGTGAAATTCTCTCAGTTCTATTGTTGCTTTAATAATTATTAAATTAAACAATTAATAATTAAATTTTTACCTGACTTAATTATTTTTGTCGGCTTGCCACTAGATGTCAAATCATCTTCATCGAAGTTCCGTTTTAAAATGTCTCCTTTAGTCAGCGCCTGTTTCAATATGGTTAACTGTGGATTTTTCGCCAATTTAGCCTCGGCATTCTTGAAGTCTTTAGTCTCGTCATAAAAATCTATACTCGAGACGTCGGATGTATCGGCAAAAATTTTATTATCTTGCGCTTCGATTTGCCCTAACAAATCTGTACGTTGTTCCTGGAGACATATCTGACGATGCGCATTGAAATTTGTTAGATTCGTATACACCATCGGACATGTTTGGCACTGGTAACGTGTTTCCGTGCGAGTCCCGGAAGCCGATAATTCTGAGGGTGGTGGTAGCCCAGCATGTCGTGATTTTATATGTTCATCGAGATTATATCGCGTCGAGTATATACGGGAACAATATGCACACGTTACTGCAGGATGTCCCCTGAGGTAAGAAGACAAACTAATTAATTCAAAATATCTTTAATGTCTCCTGAAATGTTAACAAGATGATGAACTACAATAATTACATATCGAATTGTTAGAACTATACTTATAATTTTTAGGAGTATTTTATATTCTCTCTCTTAGGAAAACATTTTTAATAAATAATTAGATTTTTAAATTAATTCTGCCAATATTATTTCAACTACAGATAAATTTTTATTCACCCGATTTTTCTTAATTGGAAGTTTTGACTAAAAAAATATAGCAATGATACATCATACATAGTTAGACAATGTATATAGAAAAAATGGTAATGTATTATTGAAGCTCACTTACCGATGCGTTGTAGAAACGTGTCCCCAGCGATGCTTCGCAGTAGAATACGATTTATGACAAAGATCACATTGATACGGTCGTTGGTACGAAGTATGATCATCGGTAATTACTCTTTCGCCAATCACATCACCCTCACCCACGTGAATCCTCGCGTGCAGAGACAAGTGACCCTTGGAACTGAATGCTTTGTTGCATAGAGAACAGACATAGACTTCATGTTGTTGTGACGTATGTGGAAAGACCATAGTATCTTGAGTAGTCACGGCACTCGTATTGTTTGTACTAGATTCCTCTTCATTTTCCTCGGTTACCATCGGGGTCATTTCCAAGAAATCACTAGGATTCGTCTCCATGTCCATTTCGTATGCCATCTCATATTCCGATCGCCGATCTTCCGAATCGTCGATCACTGTGGCTTCATATTAAAATAACACATGTTAGCGATTAATTGTTTCTTTATCGAATAAAATAAGAAGAATTATTAAAATAAGAAGAAAACTTTAAATTCAAAATGTACGAACATACCTTCGTCCGTACCTTCACTTGTGTCAAGAATTTCTTCGATCTCAGGATCTGCTTCACCATCCGAATTTAATCTCGGGGGTGTACCCAATGCTGCATTAGGATTGACTACAGGTGCTTCCGGGATAAGTACTGGCATATTTTCTTTTTTAAGAAACACCGTGTGCATCTTGTAGGATTGCGCAGTGTTATTTGCATCGTCATCACTCACCTATGATATAACATGCAAAAAATTCTTTACAAAATTACGAATCTCCAAATTATAATATTATATTTTTGCAATTAAAATTTTTTGATTGAGACGTACAAGAAATAACTGTTAAATTATGCAATATATAGATATGAAATGGGGGGTTTTTTTTTTAACAAATGTCATATTTATCGTAATTTTCTAAAACTAGAGAAAATTTTAAAATACAAATTCAATTAATTTCAGGAATAATTAGTAATATACATATATTGCTTAAGTACGTTTTAGTTTATCAAATTTTTTTATTGATAAAATTAAAATTTTCAAAAAGTAAGTGTCCTAACTTTTAAATCCTAACATTCGCAGATTCGGATACTTACGCCTTCCTTCGGCCTATTTCTTTCCAACAAAACAGCTGCATTAACACACGCAGTCCTAAAGTCATAGAAATTTTCCAAGTTGTACATACATCGATAACACAGAACTTTTGGCAAATAATCATCTTCCATTATCTGAAACAGCAATTTCGATGTTTTCGTCAAGAATGTGTTTAAGTTTTACAGTAGCATAATGACTAATGTCTTGATATAAATCTATAATTCTTAATTTGCTTCTTGTTAACAAATATCCATAAATATTCCAGATCAGAAATATTCCATTATTAGAAATTAATATAAAATTGATAATAATAATAATAATAATAATAATATTAAAGGAACGATTAAATTATTATTATTGAACAAAGATTTTGGCAATGATTCATATTTATATAAATGTAAAATAATAAATATATAAATACAATCAATAATAAGATTAGAAACAACATTGTTTATGTGAGTACATCATCTAAATACAAAAAGCGTCAGCTCTGTGAAGTTGGCACTCCTAAATGAGAATTTTGACAAGATGAACATTGCATTCGTTTGTCCACTATTTGTCCACAATTGTCCATAAAAAAAAATATAAACTAAAAAAAGTTGTAGCACCCCCATGTGAATATTTTTCCTAATTATGCACAGGAATCGTTTGTCCACTATGCCTACGCGTTTGTCCAAAAAAAAGTTATAAACAAATTAAAGTTACAAAATTAGGAAATAGAATTAGGAATGGTTAATTGATGTGTTCTTTAGTTTAATACGGATTTATTTGTCATAGAAGTTTTGTGCATAAAAGTGCACGAAGGATACGTCTAAGTACAGTTAAGAACTGTCCAAAAACACGAAAATACACACGTAGGCGTATGTACACATTGTGGACAATAAACGATTTCTATGCATAATTATAAAGTATACGCACTTACTTATCCGTTGACGAATTTTTTAACCTTAATTTGTTTGTAACTTTTTTTTGGCGGGTGGACAAATGCATACGCATTGTGGACAAACGATTCCCCTATATAATTAGGAAAAATATTCACATGGGGGTGCTACAACTTTTTTAGTTTATAATTTTTTTTTGGAGGGTAGACAAACGATTTTTTTTTTATGGACAATTGTGAACAAATAGTGGACAAACGAATGCAATGTTTATTTTGTCAAAATTCTCATTTAGAGGTGCCAACTTCACAGAGCTAAAAGCGCTTTTGGTTAAAGTTAGAGTTTAACTAAACATATACATGTTTTATTTTTATCATGTTATGGCTCAATTATTATAATATAAATATATATATTTCTGATAAGGGCCACAAGCTATAAATAAACAAATGTAATATAATTGTTTTTTTTAATAAATTTATCTCAAAAATATAACTATAATTAATAGCCGGTATATTTTGCGTCTATAGAGATATCTCTCTAAAGCATATATAAAATTATTCGGAATGAATCTCGATCGGAGTTACTCAATTATTCCCTACAATTCTGTTGTGTTTTCTAGAAAAAACAATCGGATTCCAAACAATTTTATATATAATTTCAGAAATATTTCTTGTGGATAAATTTATTTTTAAAATATTGAAATTTTTTCTCTTTTTTCTTCAGACATCTATAACAGAAGAATAACAAAAAAGATAAATAACAATGCGGTATGATAAAACAAGAAACAATTACTGAAAACAGTTTTATTAATGTTTTAAACGGTAAAACTGTAGAAAAGGGAAGCAACAACTCCCGATGATCTTGACCTTGACATATGTTGTCAAAGTCATGACCCTGAGTAACCTCCCGCAGGGTTTACTTGGTGGTCGTCCTCATCGGTCACGACGATATTTGTCAAGGTTATCAGGGGTTGCTTCTCCTCTTTTTTACAGTTTTACCCGTTAAACATTTATCTCAAATATTTTTCGATAAAAAAGCGCGCTTTAATCTTCTAATTAGCTTCATAGAAAAGGAAATTTCATTATTTATACTTTGTACATCATTATTACCATAAGACGCTTTTATGTTACATAAACTCTTCAACATATTCTAAGTATATAATATTTAAATTTCACAAGACGTAAATAGACGCTTTTACATATTTCTCTTTTTTTCGCAAAGAATAGAGATGCAACTTAGTTAGAAAAGATCGCGTGTCTCATATAGTCTTTAATTTTTCGGTTTAAATGCTACGTGTGTGTATACGTGTACCGAATAATTCATGAATTTCGATTATATACACGAGCCAGTAACAATTTCATCATGCACTAAGACGAAGAAAAAACAAATAACATCAATGCAAAAGAATAATGCAAGTGACAGTGAAGATATCCAAGTAAAAGGGGAAATGAACCGGGACGCGATTACTTGTCGACGAGTCAATTTTCAAAGTATGTTTTTTAATAGTAAATGTTGTCATTACATTGATGGATCAGTAGCACATTAAAAGCTGCTTTACATAAAATACTTAAATGCAGTGTGACACCAGTGACATAATATAATCAACTTTGAGATACGAAACTAATATTCTATTAAATACGATCCGACGATGTCATTATTTGTGTGTAGCAGCTTTCAACCTTCTATAGCCCGAATTTTTTCGTGGCTATAAAAAAAAGTTGTATAATTTATATGTAAAAATTTTTGTTTTTAAAAATTAAATAGTCAAGATATCGATATATTAATAGGCGACTTCGAAGTCACACGTCAGGCTATATGCATTAATCTGATGTAATTCAAGTGACCAAATTCGCTATAAGTTCACAAGATCTAAGTTGATACTTTTTCATCATATTCTCTCTTTTTTGTGGTCAAGTCTCGCTACAAATGCTTTGAAGCGATTGATGGATCAATCAAAAATAGAAAATTTATAAATTAACCAATCAAAAAAGTATTTGTAGCATCGCATTAACCGTACCTTTTGTCAAAGAATAGCTGCGTTTAGCAGAAAAACTTTGCAACTGTTGTAATATTCTTTGACAATATGATTAATCTTTTTCTTAATTCCTGGATTTAAATATTTTCACTGTATAAACCAATTATATTCAAGAATTTTACAACAGTTGTAAAGTTACTTTTCTTGCTAAACACAATTCATAATAGAGTAGCACCTTAGGGAGGATTAAGTGCGATACAATTTGTGTAGACATCAACGAAAAGTACAACGCTTAAGATCCGGTAAATTTCGTCGTGCACGAGAATGAGACAAGTGATAAACTGGTGCTACGAGAAGATGATGCACGTGACAATGGAATACTCAATTGTAGCAGGAAATTGAAAATAAACCGGAACGCGGTCTGCAGTTACGCGTCGATGAGACAACTCGACGACGACGACGACGATAACGCGCGGCGGCGATTAAATCTTGTGGAGAAGCATGTAATGCGTGTCGTAGCGGCAAACAAAATGTCGCCAGTGCGTCGCGCGATGAAACGTGCCTCCTTGCGTCAAGCCGACCTCGCCATCCGCGTCGCAATGTCCTCGCGAAGCCTCGATGGCCAAACGGGTGGAATTCGTCACCGAGAACGCTCGGTGAACAAGCGGATGAGCGAGCGAGATGGCCGACGGTGACGATGCAGCGGCGGGAAGAAAACCTTCACCCAGTAACGCCCCGTCGACACCGAACGAGTCGTCCGTGAATCTGCTCGCTCGCTCGCTCGCTCTCTCTCTCTCTCTCTCTCTCTCTCTTTCTCTCTCTCTCTCTCTCTTGCTCTCGCACTCCTATCGTCTCTCCGTCTCTTATCAAGAAATGAGATCGAGGACGAATCGTGCAGGGCCACAAAGTAGGTACCAAGGGAGGTCACTCAGAAAAGTAAACGAAATTGAGTGAGTGAGTGAGAGAAGAGAAAGAAAATAAGGGACGCTACAGAAGCAAAATAAGACGGAGGGAAGAGAGAGAAGTACGTAGATGTGATTAAAGCGAGTTCCACAAGGAACAGGATAATATCTCACAATCAGTATGTCGCAAAGAACGCGAACAAAGAGAAGGACTTACCTTGAACGGCAAACACGTCTCAATCTTGTCGACGAGTTGGCGATTCTTGCCTTCCTGGCCGAATATATGCATCCTAACGGCATCGAAGGAAGCGCATAGGCGACACAGCTCCTCATAGTTCCTCCTTGGCTCGGTCGCCATCACTGTCTCGATCTTCGTCGTTAATATCGACGTTGCCGTCGTGACCGTCGATATCGTCGCCATCGTTATGTCGCCAAGTCTCTCGAGAAAGCTCCGCGTCCCTCGCTCGCCTCTTTCTCCCTCTCTCGCTTGCCCCGTAGCAGCGTCGCCGTCGGCGTCAATGGCGAGAGACTACAGGGAGCGACGCACAAGCCAACGTTGTCACTTGGCGATATCTCCCAGCCGGACGTACGATAAAACGACGTCGAGGACTTGGCCTCGCGGTCGTGACGCTGTCCGGGACGAAACTGACTGACCGTTGCCGATTCCTCGCTACGCTGCTCTCCCACCGACAAGATCCCACGCCTCTGACCTCTTCGTCTACCTGCCTAACGCGCCTACGTCCCAGTCCGCTCGATTACCTGCAGCCTACCAACCACCGTTGGCTAAGACTACGCGTCGAGTCCGTGCCGCTTCTTCCATTCCTCGGATATCACATTTTACTTCCGTCAGACCTACCGTTGCCGCCGCCGCCGCCACCGCCACTCGCGCTGTCGTTGTTGCCGTCGTGATGCTCGGCTTGCTCAGCAGGCTCGCTATGATACCGCTTTACCCGGGATAGGCTAGGCAACGCACTGCCCTACCCTACCCTGCCCTGCACCACACCGCACCGTCGTACCGCGCCGCTCGGCGTCGCACCGCGTCGCACCGCGTCGCACCGCACCGGTCGGATCAAATCAGGTCGTCGTTGTCGTAATTACCGCGCACATAGCACCGGCCACTTCTCACTCTCACCATCGCTGCGACATCATCGACACACCATGCTACTTCCTGGCAATCCTCGCGACAGTACGAACTCCGGGCGCCGCCATCTTGTATACAGACACTTGTTTCGCTGCCGGTGACGATACGCCAACGCGGAGCTCCTGACGCGCATACGACGCATGCAACGGCGCCAACGGCGTCGCAGCACTCGCAGCCAGTCGCAGCGTGTCTGCTGACCGAGCGCGTCGTTAGAGTGCGGGGTGCGGGGCCACGTTTTTGAAAATCGCATTTTCCCACTCAAGCAGGAAAGATCGAGAACGATCGCCGCGCGCACGTGGTATCACGCGTCATCACGCGTCTATACGTGAGCTACTAGTAGATACCAAACTGTGCCGGCGGATTGGCGATTACTGTGAGCGCGATTACCGATCGCCGCTAGCCTATTGGCCAAGACTTGGTCGTGAGAGAGGAATTTGTCCCTCGATCAATTCAGTGTATTTATTTTATTATTGCATTTCGCGCTTGTAGGTTGCGCGTTTCTATCGAGTCGTGAAAAGACAATTATTTTGTCTCTTTGACATTTCTATACATTTCTTACAAAGGAAGGTATTTTGATGTCAATCACAGTGTCTCGATGCAGAACAGACTGTGATAATTTTGAAATAAATATCTTTGAAATAATTGTCTTATAATAAGTATTGATATCAACTGACATTATAACTCTATAGAGCACGAAAAACAAGCCTAACTTTATGAATTTTTTCGGAAATGTAATGAGAGAAATAAAAAATGTATTTTAGGTCTTTGTTGTATGTACATATATTGAAAAATGTAAAAAAATTTTTTTTATAGTGATTTTCTTATAAAATGGCGGCGTTACAGCTCTCTGCAATGACAACATTTTCTCATAGAGAATGTTCTGCGGCCGGAACGATAACTCCGACAATTTTTAACCTAGAATTAATAAAAAACCAAAAATTCTTTAAATCTACACTCCAAAAGCTAGAGAAAGATGGACAGAAATTGCAATATACTATTTTTTGAAAAAATGATACGAATTTCAAGTAAATGTTACATTTAAAAGGTAAAAAATTGTTTATATAAAAAAAATTTGTAATAAAAAAAATCCGTACGTGTTTCTCTATAGAGAATGCAATTTTCAAGCTACAGTTAAAATTTCTAGTAAATCGATCAAGATTTGTCGGAGTTATATGTTTCCGGCCAGCTTGAAAAATGTGATTTCAAGGAAAATGCATTTAAAATATTTATGTAACAATCAGCGATAGAAACGTTTAATTATACCTTTACACTCTGCGATGCCTGCATCATACAATAGGCCTTCGCTTGATCGTTAAATGTCCTTTTCTTCCTGATTCTTCTTGGTCGATTTCAGAGATGATCGCACGTAACTAATTTCTTTATTATTTTCAGAAGGACCTCTTTGCAAAAGCTACAAAAAGTACGATGCTTTAAACTTCCAAAAATGACACTTGGAAATTTTTCTTCGCTATATAAGATCTATTAAACCTTATTTCTAAGATTCTGAAGCATTATTTAAGCAAAACAGAAAAAAACGATTTTTTGGAAAATTTTAGAGTGGCTTTAATAAATGTCTGATGATGTAAGAGGGATTTAATTAACGATAACAATTAAGAAAATATAATCGGTTATTCAGTACTAGATTAATATAACATAAATATAAATAAAGGAATAAAATTGTAATAAATCTATATTAGAAATCATTTGAATATGATATAAGATTCATTTTAGTTGAAAGTAATTATATACATTATTTTATATATAGAAAAACAATTCAGTCACACATAAAAGTAAAATAATACAAATTATATAATAATTTAGTAATTTATAAAATAATTTAATGCAACAAATATACATATAATTATAATAATATATAAATTTACCTATATATAATAAAACATATTATAAACTTATATATGTATATATATATATATATATATATATATATAGTAACAAATAATGATTTAATCGATTTGAACCGGAAAGCTCAACAGAAACTTGAACATTAGACTTCTTTGATAAAGACAACGTATTTTTATAACTAAAAAAAATCTGCACTTATTACTGCCCGTTTTAAAAAAAAATTTTGCTTTCCTTCTTCTCCTACCAACTATCAACAAAAAAATTTCGTATCTATGGGTAAACAGTGTTGGAACGTATCTAGGTAAAAGTATCTAGATACAGTATCTAGATATTTTAGCTGTATGATACCTAGTCGCTTTGCCGTCTTGAACTCGCGCCTACTCTCGCCCACTGAGGCACTGAATAATGTTCTAGTTCAAACATTATCGCTGAGAGAGACGAACAAGATGAATGCAACAGTAAACGGTAAAAGACTGCAGGATCTTCCACCAAAAGGAGGTTATGGTCCCATACAAACAGAAAGGGTAAAATTACGCAGTATTTTCGGCGGTAAGGATATTGCTGTGACGAATTTTATTGGCTGGTTAATGCAAAGATTGTATTATTGACAGGTTATGTAATAATGTTATAAAATTTTTTAGTTAAAAGCACAATCGCGCTATTTCTAGCCACCACAATTAGCGGAATGTATGCCTACTATCTGAATTTTAAACTAATTAGGCGTCACGAGATTGAGATGAGGAGTGCACGTTGGGCTATATTTCCAGCATTGCTAGCAGAACGAGATAGAGCGTAAGAATATATATTTTTCATTTAAATCATTAACTAGTACAATCATATACCAATACAATCAGAAGCTTAATAGTAAATTTGGTCGCTTGCACTACGTTAGTGAATATATATATTCTTACATGGTCAAAAAAGGTGTCATTACATTTAGATATTTTATTTAAGACAATCTTTAACGTTTTTATTAATTTGATACATTTGAGTGATCAAATTCACAATTATGAATTTCATCACTTGTATGTATTGAATTAGTATTAAAAAGGCTGCTTTATTTAAAATATTTAAATATGTAGTATAATATATAACCAATTTTAAGAATAACAATGTATGCAGGTTGTTTGGAATTTAAAGGTCAAAACTTTGGGAGGACAGGGAAATACAATTAAATTTTTTGATAGACCAAATATAAAATTTGAAGTTATGCCGTGGGCCACACCAGTAAAATTTAGAATTCATATTTTTTGTCTTTGAATTATCTAGGAATCATCATTATGTGAAGATGAGACAAAGTCAATTCCCTTTCTTTTTTATTATTATTTTTTTTTTAGTATCTCTGGTATAGAGAATCGATAAACTAAATAAAAAGATCCTGTAGAAATATGCTCGTTTTTGCTTTGTATTGGAAAAAAATCTTAAAAAAGACAAAACAGTTGTTTTGTTCTTAGACGTGGAAAGTAATATCTTGACCAGTCCCGATCACCTGATCTGACACCATTGGACTTCTTTGTGGGGAGAGTCTTAAAGCAGAAAGTTTATTTGTTGTTAATTAACTCAAGGGAATTGTGAAATTGCATCGCTACAGTACACCAAATATCACCAGATTAGTAGCTACGTTTACACCGTGCGCTTAGTCCGCGACCTATACGATAGGTGTCTTTGTTTAACCTACAGGATAAACAAGGACATCTATTGTTTAGGCCGCGGCCTAAATGCACGGTGTAAATGTAGCCAGTGTATGACTGTAACATGAGTTGTCTGTACTAGATATAATGCTTGTATTGTTGCAAGAGATCCATATTTCGAACGATATCTACATTAAACACAATGGGAATAAGTAATAGAAAGAGTCAAAAATGAAAACGACGTTTTGTCTTTTTTTGCAATTTCCTCTAAAACTAGTAAAGTAAAAACGAGTCGGAGAGACCGGGTCTCGTTGGCACAAGAGGTAAGTTGACATTGCGTTCAGTTTATGTACTTGTGGCAAAAGAAACAATGGAAAAGTAACTACAAAATATGTCTTTTATAACATAGGTATTTATCTTTAAGTTTCATTTAAATCAAACAAGTATTATAATAAAAAAAAATGTAATTAAATGGACACGAAATAGATTTTCGAGTTTTTCAATATTTCGTATTACTTCTGAGTTTGAGAAAATAGATCTAAATGATGTATTATCAGTTAAAAGAAAAGTTTTTGTTCTTATACGAAATGTTATTTTGAGTGATGATAGTAATTTGTTATAATAAAACCATTAAAATTATCAAATGTATGTAGAGATGGAATATGTTGAGTCATATTTAATGCAAGTTATGCAAGGTCAACCTAAGTTAGCACGATGTGCTATCGTTCGCACTTCGTACGTGAAAGTCGTGAGACGAGTATCGATATTCGTGATATATTATGTATATACTATTTTATATACTCGTGTGTGGTGTATTATGTATATACTATTTTATATACTTATATAAAAAAATATAAAAAATTGTATCGTAGGCATGTATCGTGGAACAAAATCAGAAAATGGTGATTCCGATAGAAATTATTTTGTTTTCCTAAGAAAAAAAAAAAATTACAATAGAAATCTGTAGAATAATTGAACAATTCTGATCAGAATTCATTTCCATTTTGTTCCACGATAGATACCTATAACCTCTCTTAAGAGATTACGTCTTGATATGTATATTATGGGCAACTTGTTCTATGGTATCTATCATGGTCCACCATGGTATCTATTACCGCACTATCGGAGCAAGCTGGCTGCAATGCAAGTGTGTTCGTATTACACTTACTGCAAAGAAACTGTACATTATACAGAATCGTTTCTAGCATCAAAATTTAGGAAAAGGTTCTTCTTATCATATATTAGCATAATTTAATTATAATAATCAGTAATTTAAAGGACTTAATGCTGAAATTGTGAAAGCTGTGCCAACGAGACCCGCGGTCTCCTCTGTATCTCTATAGGATCTTTTTTTTCTTAGTTTATCGATCTCCTACCCGCTCTCGCGAAGTTTTGACATTGAAATTCCAAACACCCTCTATAATTCGATTAAATAACATAACAATATCATTATTTAGTCATTAGATTTTATTAAAATATTTATATATGCATATGTTTTGGTAATTTTACATATAGCAGCTTTTAATATCATTTATCTTTGATGTTTGGTTCTTGTTTTATTTTCAATAAACGATAAAGCTAGAATGATACATTCGGGTGAAGTTTTTAAACATTTTCTAATGTAGTGCAAATACTGAATTTACTTAACAACAAATAATCTTGAGATATTTCATATAGTCAGCATTCTCCTTTATTTCCATGCAGTGTCTTGAAACAAATGAGACGTAGTCGCAATATCGAGGCAGAATTGATGAAGAATGTCGAAGGATGGGAAGTGGGAACATACTATGGAGAACCAATATTCTATCTGGATGATCCAAATCAATTTAGAGATCCAACTTTCTTAGAACATTTTGCGCATTCTGATCCAAAAGTGTACAGAGAACGAGCCGAGCGCCATTTATTTACGTAAGAGTACACTTGGTATTCAGATTCTGATCAGCTATGTATCTGGTAATGCGACAAAATAGGAAAATAGGGTGTTAATAACGAGTGTAATTATTGTGTCATAATTATGAATAACATTTTGGAACTATAGGTTACAATAAAGTCGTAATATTACTGTTTGCCAGTATTCTTTCATTTCTCTCCTTGTCACATTTTGTTATAACAGATTTTACTTTCTTAACAACAAAATAACATATTTAATGACTAATCTGATACTTTGGTATCTCTTTTCTTAATCCACAATAAACGCTAAATAGAACATTTTACTATATAAAATAAGAAATGTTTATTTCACATATTTTTATTTTTAAGGGGTTATATATTGTTATGACGCATAATTAACGATAGCGAATGGCAAAGACCGTTCTAGGAGAAAAGTGCGGTTCTTATTGGCTATCGCCACTTAACGGCACCGACAATTGTCGATAGACGTGTATGTATATACTAGCTCAGGGGGCCTATTCTGTACACGCTTACCGACAACTGTCGGTATCCGTTAAGTAGCGATAACCAATGATATGGACTGTTCTAGGAGAAAAGTGCGATTCTTATTGGCCATCGCTACTTAACGACACCGACAGTTGTCGGTAAGCGTGTACAGAATAGGCCCCCTGGTACTAGAGACCCTAAAGAGAGCCTGTCTTGCTCGCTCTCGTGGTACGTAGTTCCCGCAGCTCGAAAATGGACGTTGGTGCCGCTAGTGTAAAGCTAAAGCCACAGTCTAAAGCATTACAAGAAAAAGGCCGCCATGGCCGCTCTCAGGTTTCTCTCTGATACTGTGGAATAAACAGTGTGTATTCCATAGTACATACATGATTTCTGATAGGTTGAAATTCTTATTCTCTGTTCCTTTTATTCTGCGCAGCCCCCCTAATATTTCCAGTTTTTCGTGTATGTTTCTTTTCAAGAGCAGGAGTTGGAAAGAAACATTTCTTCAAATACCACGTTCTGACTTGCAAATGCAGCAAGACCGCACCATTGTAAAATTGCAACTTTTAATTTGTAAATTAATGTTTGTACAATAATTCACTGCAATCCGCCGAAGCTCTCGTTATCATTCTCAGTCAATTTAATACTCTCGGATATCTATCTTCGTTGCTCTTGGCTACTCCCTGACCTGCCGCGACGACCAATCAATTCACTACTAGATAAGAATAGAACTACTCCGCAACTACTTCTCTCTCTTTCTATCAAGTCTTCAGCTTCTCTCGTATGAACGCTCCGTCTATCTTATAAGTCTATGGTACCCATTAAATTACATACAACTGAAAATGTGATATATGGTATGTATATTTTTTTTCTGAAGAGTTTATAAAGAAAAATTGAAAAATATTTACATATTTGAATTGTAAAATTTTTTTTAATTAACAATTTGATAATAAGGCTATATATAAGTATAAAACAAATTCGAAAGTTAAAGGGCAATGAGCTAATTTAATAAAACTAACTTTCTGTTTTACTAAATTGGCTCGTTGCCCTTTAACCGTCAAATTTGTTTTTTATAATTGTTTTAAAGATTTTCTCAACTAATAATGATTTTATTATAAAAATATATTTTGCCAGCTGTTTATACTTAAGCGGGGAGCACAGACTTTTGCATAATGCATGAACCATATACATAAAGAATTTGATTGGTCCATTGACTCATGCATAAGAAAATGGACGCTTCACCGCTGCGCCGCTCAGGTCTGTAGGCTCCTTAAAAAGAACAGAGAATAAGAATTTCAACTTATCAGAAATCATGTACTGAGGAATACACACTGTTTATTCCACAGTATATCATTTCTGATAGGTTGAAATTCTTATTCTGTGTTCTCTGTTTCTTTTATTCTGCCTAGTTCCGTACTGTTCTTGACGCGCATGCGCAAGATAGGGAGCACCAATCGGAACACTGCATTGGCTGCATATCCGTATCGAAGCGGTTTTTCCGTCGCCGAGCCATCCCCCAATTGAACGCAGATAGCTCCATCTGTGTGTTGCGATATATAGTGAGATGCTTGCGGTTGATTGTATACTGAAACAATTCGTAAGAGATGGTGCTGAACGGAAAATATTGAAATCCTGCTGAATAGGGTATGTGAATTATAAGTGTAATAACATTTTTGATACGCGCATAGGTATACTGTAAGCGAGTCGGCCTGGTCATGCAGAGCCACGCGATTCTCGTCGCAGTTGGACTCACGGACGAGACGATGCGTACGCAGCCAGCATCTGTCGCTCTGGCCCACTGTAGCTTGCGTATAACGTCATCCGTTGCCCTCGAAATCTCTAATTTATTCTGTGTCTAATTTACTTTTGTTAACTTGTCCGCCTGCTCTCGGCTTCCTACTCACAAGAAGCGATCTGAGTTTGCATTCTCCGAAGGTAAAAGACACGATCGAGATACAGTTTTTTTCCGACAATTCCTTCGATAAGAAGCGCGATATACAAAGCACTGTTTTAAGTATGAAATATGTTACAAGTCATATGTAGGTATATGGTTCTTGTTACTTTCGAAAAGAGCGACAGATTAGAAAGATATATTAAAATGTTATATCTATGAGTAAAAAGAATATAGATTTTCTAGGAATTGGAAAAATGAATTGTAAATAGGAAACGCTTTATAAAACTTATAGTAACATTTTTTATTTATGAAATTATAGCTTAGGTTATTTTATATTTTTTACTGCTACATATAATACTGTCTGTATAATAAATTATGATTATTTTATAGCATTTTCTCTTGGCTGCATTATCACCTATCAATGCACTCGGATAGTGCAATGTGTTTCCTTGGCTAGACAAACTCATTCAGTGTAACATGTTTCCATGGCTGTAGTGTATTGCAAATTTTATACACGAAGTAAGATTTTGCTACACAATCTCAAAAGGATGGTGTAGAGCCAGTGTAACATTTAAATTTTGAAAATAGAAGTCAACCGGCAGGATTAAACACGATAGAATAAAGTAGTGTATATACCATGATGTATGTACACTAGTGCAGCACTGTTACAGCACTTACACGCAATTGGTATAGTGCAAGGTTACACAAGGCTGCGTTTGGAAATATCACTCAGGTTTTCCTAAGTATCATCTTGTTATTTATTCAATGTTAAATAAGGATAAGGCAATACATAGAGATACTTGAGTGATATTTCCAAATGTATCATAGTCCAGTGTATCCCAAGAGAAAATGCTATTAGTTATATAATTACAGTTTTATAGATATATATATAATGTAACTTTGTTTTATATATATATATCTGAACTCAGTAGTGTTTTTTTTGTTTTATCTTAACCTAATAGTATTATTTTAATTGCTTGCAAAAAAAGAATGTAAACATCAAGAAAAAATGAAAAAAATTTTGTTAAGTACATATTTTTATTTCTCGACAATTATATATAACATAAAAATTACATTTCAAAATTAAAATTATAAAATTTTAATGATTAAAAATATTTGAACTTATTTTCTATTGATAAATTTTATTTTTTTGAATTGTGTTATTGTTTAGTAAATGAGTGTTATATATAAAGTTATATAAAATATATATAAAACAAACTGTGGAGGTTAAAATAGGAAAAGTAATAAATAAAACCTTTGCATTTGTTCAATTTATGAGATAAGTGTACATTAAAGATTGAATAATTGTCATTAATCTTTAAAATCGATATATTTTTCATTGAAACTTATTTTTCCTAATTTAGAATTCATATGGTGTTTTATTTTCTAGGAAGAACTATAGAAAGTAGAGTGAACAAACCTGAATCTGTTTAATTTCTTGTTTGTAATATATATATATATATATATTCATTTATCCATACTTTTGTCAAGTATACTGCAAAATATGGAGCCGGGAGTAATTCAAGAGAAGCCACTACCTATGCGAGGCTTAAAACAAGTGAAGGTGGATAATTGGGGATCGTTCTTTCTTCAACGACTTCAGACTCTTTACTTGGACGAACAATTTCTTGATCTTAAAATTAAATTTCCTACAAGTAATATTACTGTACAGGTATAAATAATATAACATTTATATTATTAGTACATATAAAATGATGATGTAAAAAAAAATTTGCAACATTTATTTAAAAAATATTTTTAAAAAATGATCAATAGTAGTATTAATACAAATTTTTTCAGGCCCATCGACTTGTAGTGACAACATGTACAGACTATTTTATGCAACTTGAAGAACAGCAGAAAGAAAAAGATGAAAATTTTGATGGCATAATTATGCCTTCAGACATGCCGTATGAGTGTGTTAAATCTATTATAAGGTATGTTTTAATATTTACTACTGTAATATATTAAATTTACTGCTGTAATATATATTAATATTTACCGTTATAATATATTAAATATCAATTTCTAAAACAGATTACGGTTTACCTCATCTCCTTTTATTTACAACTTTTAATATTCTAGTTAATTTTTCATAAAATCGAGATATACATGAGATAAGAGTCAAGTTTATTACTCTTAGATCTGTCACTTACAAATTAATCACTCTCGCATGCAGATATCCTTATTCATGTTTTAATATTTACTAAAACCATTTTTATAGTTCATTTAATTAATTGCATATTTATATACAGTTTTATGTATACTGGACAATTGGAATATTGGACATCAGAGCAACATGCTTTGTATCGTACAGCACAAAAGATGAATATGACAGTCTTAACAAAGTTGCTTGAAGCTCAATTTAACACAAGTAAAATACAAGATGATACGGCAAAAACACCTCCGATGATAGCCGTCACGAAACCTTCAACTCCTCCAATTCCAAAAACAGTTACCAGCCCTATCAGTTCGACATCAAATGTACAAACATTACCAGGTAGAAAGTATGTATTTCATAAGTAATGTTTCAAACATACTTAATTTGTGATGATAAATTGTCAATCTCTATTTTTTAAGGCTTCCTATATGGAAAAGGAAACTGGACGAATCCCCACCTGTACCAGCGAATTATGAAGTACGAACATTCCACAATACATCTTCAATACATAAAGAAGTGACTCCTGGTCCATCCAGATTTGATCTTCCAGAAGCAGAGGATTTTGCTTTGGGATTATTTTCTTCATTCGATGATATTACATATAATACAAAACCTATTGTTCGAGCATGCAACACATATACAAAAGAAAACTCTATTAAAGGTTCGCCTGACAGAGATAGTAAAAACGATACAACTGAAGATGAAGACGAAGATAACCAAGAGAGCGAAAAAAACTTGAGAAACACAAATCTAGTTGATGATTGGAATATATCGAAAAATTATGAGAGATCTGAAGAAGGCCCTTCTAAACGAGTGCGTTTTGATTTGGAGGAAAAAGAAAATGTAGAAAAGTCTAAGACGAATCATGATGTGAATCCGAATACCGACGATTCTATCGATAATCACGCAAAGATTATCAGAGAAGTATTAAAAAAATATCCCCATTTAGTAAAAAACAATAAAAATATTCGCTTGAAAATCATGCAAAAAGAAACAAAATCCTCCGAAAATAATACTGCGTCCAAAACAAAAATATCTTACGTCGTTTTAAAATCTGATCACTTATTGACCATCAATAATGATGAAAATAATGATTCCAAGTGTAATGGCAGTATCGACGGCGAAACAGGTCCCTGGAAATGTAACAAATGTGATTTGGATGAGGAATATACAAATTATTATATGTATAGAAGACACATGCAAGATGTGCATGACGAGAAATTTGATCCGAGGGTTTGCGAGCATTGTGGTTACAAGGCAACCAAGCGCAACATTTTGATGTATCATCTTTATACCAAACACAATGTGCCACCACCGAAGAGCATGAGCTTTCCGAAATGTCATGCCTGTTCATACATTGCCTTATCAGAGACTCTGCTGGTGCGTCATCAAATAAACCATAATCATCGGCCTGCCGCAACGCGACATTACACTTCGGAGGATATTCAATGCAATCAATGCAGTCAGTCATTTAAGAGTATCACTGAACTTACTACTCACGAATTGAACAGCGGACATGGAAATGTCACAGATGGTAAAGGTCATCGTTGTCCATACTGTTGCAAAGTGTTTGTGCGTTTGACGAACTTGCAAGTACATCTGGATTGCGCGCATAAAGAATTACAGAGAGACACCACCGAGTCTCCTTCGGCCGTACCTGCATTAGAACCATCATCTGAAGCGGAAGCTCTCAGCCACGTCGCCAGTGGTATAGCTGCTTCTCTTGGTGTTGGGGACATAGAGACGGAGACTCCGGAAACGCAGGAAGAAGAAATAGAGATTGTAAAAACTAATGACAATCAGTACATTGTACCAAATGTATTGAACAATATGGAACATAACATCAGTTATGGTGCGCATGAATTGGAGGGTCAGCACATGATTATGTTAGTCAATAATGACGAAAATTATCAGCACGGTGAGAATAATCATCATCAGCAACCGCAACAGTTAGATATCGCCGATAATGAACAGATAGTAATGCAGGGCACCGATGACGGTATGATTGTGTACATTCATGGTGCTGAGGAAGCCGATAACCGATCTTACGAGAATTATCAGCATGGCGAAGTTATACAAGAGACGGAAGAAATAGTAGAGGAAGTTGTTGAGGAAGTCGAAGAAGTAGTTATGGAGGAAGAGAGGGTACAAGAGGAAGAGGAGATGCCTCAACATATGTTGGAGGATTGTGCCGATAATCAAGTGGAAGAAGTGGTACAATATGTCGAAGAGCAGACAGAGATAGTAGAATACGACGAGGAACAATGCAGCGAACAGAGCAATAATATAGATGAGCAACAAGACTCTGTAATGATCATAGAGGAAGAGCATGTCGAGAGCGAGGAAGACATGGAAGAGACTACTGATAAAAAGATACAAAGTTTCACTACCGAATGGGATGAAGATAGCGCTGGATTAACAGAATCATGAATACTGTAATTATTGGATTTTTTATTTGCTTGTGTAATATGTTTATTAATTCTAACCATGATAGTTTAATTTTAAAGCGACACTTTAAAGGAGATTTTGATTTTACATTAGGTGCTTTTCTCAACAAGAGACATATGTAGATGACAATGTAATAGTGATCACATCTTTATTGTTTGTCAATGTTAAACAAAGCTAAAATAATCACTGTCTCTTGTTGAAAAGCACTGTTTATGTATGTAATGTTTGTTAATAATGAACGATTATACAACGGACGGAATACAATCATACCTATTTTGCTACATGATATATTTAGCACAGTAAGCCCACAAATTTAATCAAATTACATTTAACAATAGGCAGGAGCAATATTATTGAAGATATTGTATGAGCTGGTACATGTGAATTCTATCGTTGCACTGACACAAATTTTGTTTTAATATATGCTAAAATATATATTTTAAACGCAAAAAAGTATAAAACCTCAATTCACAATTGAGATTACTATACAGTGGCAGTACTGTTAAGAGTCTGAGATGAGAATCTGTAATCTTCAAACTTGCGACTTTTTTTCAAATACAAATATATTCATATATGCATATTTGTAGCTTATTATATGTAGCTTAATCTAAACCCAAGAGCCATTCGACCAACCTTTATTAATTTTAATTTAATTACTTGATCGACAGAGTCGCTTAAAACAATGTCTAATATATAGTTCATTGTTCTTAATTTTTGTTGGATATATTAAAGGTATGGTTCTATTAATTCATTCGACAATTTTTTTTCATATTAATAAATTAGTGCTGATTAAGTTATGTTAATCGAAGTTGTTCGAAATGGCCTTAAGGTTTACAAATTCATTCCGTGAGAATAGACGTTAAAGTATGTTGAGATGACCAAATCACATGGGTTTTTTAAAGATGCTATTCTGCAGAATGAAATATCACGTCATTTAGAAGAAATCTTGCGAACGAATGTTCCTTCCACAAATATCGTCTGTAATCTTTTATATTGCAACGCTGCGTTCAGGAATTGTGCCTGGATAACTTTAGGCTACAGTTTACGTTACGTACAGTATAGCAAAAATGCACCTGAGTTATCTGAGCATAATTCCTGAACACACCCAAATATATGATAAACCATCATTTTTACAAGAGACGAAGATTGTAATGAGAATAAAATTCTTAGACTATAAACGCATAATGTTTTATTATATGTTTTGAATTATGCACAATTATATGGGAAAGTATAGATAAATAAATGCAATATGTATGTTGTACTCATATCGCAAATACGATTTATGTTTTGTCTGTGTTTGCAACATTTTTGAATGCATTCTGTTTCATGCGATGTATCGTTTATAAAAATAAATGTGTTATGCATCATACGATTCAAGGCTGCGGTCTACTGTAGCTAGTGTTGTTATTCCACCAATGTAGATTAATTTTAATCTTTGTTCAATTTGCTCTTCATCTTTTCCTAATTCTAAAAATTAGAAAAAGATTAACAGTAAGTTAAACCGAGATAAAAGTTAATCTGCATTGGTGGAAATTAGAGTCCTAGATATCAGTGAACTGGCTTGAGTCAGTATCGCAAAACTACTAAGAAAAGTACTAAAAATGGCATCGTTTGCAAACGAACTATGAAATCAACCAATCGTCTGTTAGTCAGCCATTTTTAGTACATACTGAATGAATGTCATGGTTGGCTGACAGTCAGCTAATCAGAATGCGGCATACCGGTTGCGCTTCTCTGATATCTAGGACTCTACTTAAAGCTACGTTTACGCGATTGTAGAATGGGTTTTATGCGTTATGCAAAAGTCTGTGCTTGCGGTCTTTCCAGGCTAAAGCCCATGACACACAGAAAAGCGTAAGGCCTATCGCACATGAAATGCATAACTGTGCGTAAGCATAACATAAGGCCGCTGGATCAATGAGCATCTTATGTTAATCAATATGGCGTCTTTATGCTGGATGCTCATTGGTCCGGCGGCCTTATATTATGCTTATGCACGGTTATGCAGTTCATGTGCGATAGGCCTAAGGCGTAAAGGTAATCAGTAAGCGAATTGACCAATCACATTTGAGAACGTAAGTGGCCGCCGCTTACATTCTCAACTGTGATTGGTCTAGTCTCTTACTGATTACGTTTACGGCCTTAAGTTTTTCTACGTGCCATGTGCTTAACGGGCATCGAGTATCGAGTACTAGAGACCTAGAAAACAGAGATGCGTCATCAGAAGGGTATGGTTTGATTGGCTGTCTAAATCACGTGATTAGAAAGCCATTTTAATTCACTATTGCATCTAATAGATATATAGTTTTATAACATATGTACACATATATATATATATATATATATAGAGAAAAATTTAGACAATACAGTGCAATAAAAAACTATTATTATGGTGTAAGTATTCTTATTTGTGTGAATATTTAATATCGGACTTAACCTAACCTAATCTAATCTTTCTACCTTTTGCATCAACTGTCATCAGCTTATTGGTCAAGAGCACTTATATTGAATTAAAATGGCGGTGGTTACCTAACCCAACCGACGCAATGTCGCATTTCTGTTTTCTAGGCCTCTATCGAGTACCAGTGGCATCATAGGCTATGATTCCATCGAGGGTTAGAGTTGGGTTAGAGTACAACAAGAACTGACAAACCACAGGCCAGTATTCCCATCTTACAGTCAAATGAGAGAGGAATGCTCGATTGTGGTTGGTCAGTTCTTGAATTCTGACCCATTCTAACCTTCAGTGGAAACTTAGTCATAGTTTTGGCGAGATCTGGGGGTCAATCACGTACTTTTTCCCCTAGGGCGGAAACGTGAAAAGTGAAAATTTTTTGCATGTATGTGTGCATATGTTCATACATACATTCATAAAAGTTTTCACTTTTCCCGCCCTAGAGAAAAAGTTACGTGATTGACCCCCTGGCTGAGAATATAAGTGTAGGATGTATAGAGTAAGTATGTAATAGGTAAGAAAGTTAATAAAATGTAATTCGTACTATTACTAAACGTATTTATGATTTTGTGTATTATGGATCTGAATGTCACTAGGAGCTATTAAGAAACAAAGAATTCGCGCATTTAAATATTCATGGTTAGACAAAGATACTTTTAAAGAATTTATATTTGCATATATTGTATAATATATGTTCCACTTTTATTTCATTTGTTAATTAATTTGCTAGAAATTTATGAATATCTTTCAAAAATAATACCGGGGCTGTAGAGCGCTCTATTTTGCTCGAGTAAAGTACGGCTAGAGTTACAGATATATCAGTTCTAAAAAACGGCTTTTCCCATCTCTACTACGTAGTACGTCGGCAAAGCCACTAGGAGCGTGATGATCATTCTTGTCGCCATCGTTTAACACGGACTTGACTACTTGCGCTTCTCTATGTTCTGTCTTCTGTGATTTCGCGAGGTCGCCCTAACGTTAATTTTTTTTTACAGACTTTCGTGCAAAAATGCGTCAAATAAGCTTAATTTCATCAAAATCGGAAGTATTTTAAAGAATTACCTGTAATTTTTATAATGTAGAATAAATTTTCGAAAATATGAATCGTGTCGCCCCAAGTAAATCAACTGTTTATATGTCAAACTTACCGTTCTCATTCACTAACAATGATATACATCAGCTGCTGGAAGCTTACGGCAAAATTGTTAAGTGAGTTATAAATATTTTTATTTAAATTTATCGTGTCAAGTTTATATCATATATATTATATGTCATTTATTCACAGAGTAACGATATTGAAAGACAAGGTAACACGTCGTAGTCGCGGTGTTGCTTTTGTGCAATTTCTTAGAATGGACGAAGCCGTGTCTTGTGCAAAACGTCTCAATAACACAGAGGTAGATAAATATTAAATTCTTTAATTAAATTTTGCTCGTTTTTTTTGCAATGCAAAGTATAAAGAAAAAACGGTCTAAATTCAGTGGTAATAAGATTTTTTAAAAATAAAATAAAGGTAATTATTCAGTTGAGGCTGCCCAGTTGCAAAAATCAATGAATTTAACTTATTTGATGCCAAATTTGTGACCGTACTCGCGAGCAACGGCACAACTGTGACTCTAATTATGCGATAGCTCTCAATCATGGCAAAAGTACTTTAAGGAACAAAAAGTGCGGTTCGTCTTTCAATTTTTAGAGGCTACGCAGAATAAAAGGAACAGAGAAGAGAGAATAAGAATTTCAACCTATCAGAAATCATATATTGTGGAATAAACAGTGTGTATTCCATAGTATGTACTATGATTTCTGATAGGTTGAAATTCTTATTCTCTGTTCCTTTTATTCTGTTAAGTTATTATTTCAATTCTTATCAAACTTGACATAGCATCTTTAACTTGATTATTCGTTTGTCAAGTTCAATATCATTTTCGACTAAAATATTCACTTAATTTTTATCTCTTTGACTATCTTTATTGACAACAATTAATTATTTAACTGTAGATCAATACATTCGCATTGAGAACAGGAATATCAATTCGAATTAGGATATGTCTGTAACGCTACGTACGAATACTATCTGTCCATGACGCAAACATCTGATAAAAATCGCTGAAGGACCTGTGAGTCTCAAAATGTACAAAATTTTGACATTTTTTGTTAGTTTATATTGTAAATGTTTCGAAATTCAACAGTGTAAATAATTTTAAAAGATAAATAAGTAATATTATAATATCTTTTTAGCTCGATTTAGACCGTTTTAATCACTAAATTTTTATTTATTTTTTTAATCAATTGACTTCACACATGTTCAAACTATTGTTTCTCTCTTTATAATTATTAATTCTATCGTAAGTGCATTTTTTCTTTACGATATAATTGTATAACTCGTATGAAAAGGAATGTATTAATAAGCTTTATAATTAATAAATTAAAATTAACAATAAACCTCCCATGGTCAAGAATAAATTGAGCAATAATGGTTGTTAAATATATCTATAAATTTATTATAATGATAACATTAATATACGGTACGTTTCGATTTCACAGAGTCCTCAATTTTCTCTTAAGACGTCGTAGTAATCTCTTAAGTGGTCGTAGTAATTTCGGATGTCTTAAGAGGAAATTGGTTTCATCTGTTAAGGGGTTTTTTACGGCTGATGAGGACTCTGTGAAGTCGAAACGTACCGTATATTAATGTTATCATTATAATAAATTTATAGATATATTTAACAACCATTATTGCTCAATTTATTCTTGACCTGGGAGGTCTGTTGTTAATTTTAATTTGTTAATTTATTTGAGCTGTTTATAACTCAATTTCAATTTTTATAATTAATTTTATTTTATTTTATATTTAAGTAAACCTAAAATAGAAAGTTAAAGAATTTCAATGTTGCAATGTTTAGTTCACACAGAATTGTTCTGATGAGATTTTGAAGTTAATTTATGATTTGTGTCTTTTTTTATTTTAGAAAGAAAAGGCGTGATTAAGACTACAATTTTTATAAAATTAATGTGTATTTTTTATCTATTAACATATTTCTTTTTTCATATTTAGATATATGGTCGCACTGTAAAAAGTTCAATAGCAATTGACAATGGTCGCAGCACTGAATTCATACATCGTAGGGATTATCCTGACAAATCGCAGTGCTATGAATGTGGACAAAAAGGACATTTGTCGTATCGCTGCAGCAACAACATACTTGGTCCTAGAGAACCACCAGCGAAGAAAGTTAGGATACGAAAGAAAAATGTGAAACAAGAAAAGTGTGACACTAGTTATTTTGATAGTGATAGTGATAATGATGAAGTAAGAAAAAAACCAAAATGTCGTTCTGACGATATTGATAATGATGATATGGAAGAAGAACCAGAAACGTTAAGTGCTGTTATTGCACTTGAGGTATAATAACGATTAAAAAATTTTTAATTAAAACTTGAAAAAAGAAAAGAATGAATAAGTTAAATTTTTGTAGCTAAGACCTATTATAATTTTTACCTGTGTTTCTTATTTTAGTAAATTATTATTTCAGCAAAAACAGACAGAAATGGAACATAAAGAAACAACAGACGAATACGATAGAAAGGAGACTGTACCAAAGAAACGCTATAAAAAGAATAATTATTTCAGTGACGAAGAGGATTTTAGCGAATAATATGTATATGATATGTAATAATGTAAAATCTCCAAGGGATTATATATATTGATAAATGTATATAAATATAAATAAAATTATGTATAAAGGACTCTTTTTTAATGAATAAATTTAAAAATGAATAAAGGACATTAGAGTCAAAAATTAAAACTAATCTTATGTCAAATTATAAAATTTATTACGAAGATACAAATTAAAAATTGATGTTCTTAACAATATAATATGATATTGACATTAAAATTACATGTTTCGGCTTCTATCTTGAGCCATCTTCAGATCTTCAACATCAAAAATATAAAAATAAAATAGATACGCAGTGGATGTTCCAGTTAAGAGTTAATTATAATAAAAAATAATATTTAAATATTAAATCCTACAGAACCGTTAGTGATGGGTTAACCTTGTTATTTTTTTTTATTTTTAAATAATAGTTGCAATTGATCGAACGCGTAGCTACTTGGCGTTACGGTTTAAATAGGGCCCGTATTCACAGAATGCGCTAACAACGATGTAGCGCGCTAACATAGGATGCTTTCCAGCAAGGACGGGATCAGACACTGTGTAACACAGAGAATCGCTTCATCCTTGTTTAACATAGGTAAACAATAAGGATGTAATGATTCATTGTGTTACACTGTGTCTACTTGTGTCGTAGCTAGAAAGCACCCATAGTTTACGTCACGTATATTATAGAATTTCAGAGATAAAAGCGCGCTTTTATCGATAAAAGTGCGTTCTGAATACGGGCTTTAAAGTAACAAATAGTAGAGAGAATCCGTGAGCGCTTGCTGCTATTGGTGTATTCTTTTGGATCATTCAATAGCAGCGAGCGCTTCCGCTCCGCAACAGTTGAGTCTGCTGAACGCGACCATAAACTCATCGTATTTGGATTTTGACATCATTTGCACCGTGCACTCTCGCAGTTTCTGATTCATCGGTACTAATTAGGGATGTAACGAAAGTGGTTATAACGAAAGCGAATGCGAAAACGAAAGAAAAAAAATTTTTTTGCGAATGCGAAAGATCTTTTTTTTCTGCTAAATGATTAAATCAGCCACAATTACTGACAGTCACGAAAAATAATATATAATATTTAAAAAATATTGCTAATTCCTATTCAAATTATTGAATGATGGATTGAAAAAGATGAATACAAATGTGTAAATTAGTATTTGCATATGAACGACTTATTTATTTTAAATTAAATAATCAAATAAAATACAAAATACATTAATTACAATTATATAAAATAAAAATAAAATAAAATATATTCTTATTCTTGAATCTTGTATTGCAACTCGTAAATACATCAAATAAACTGACTCCTATAACTCTAAGTAAAGTAACTCAATATACTTTTCATTAAGTCAACATAAAATAAAATTCTTCAAAGAATTAGTTATACTTTTATATTATATACTTAATAAGAATAAGAATTACATATTAGCTTATTTAGATTGGCAAACCAACGAATGAAATGTAAACTGCTTTCCCACCATCTAGGGTGCCCTCGGTGAAGCTGCGAATTCCACGGACCGGACAAAATCTTTCGTTAAAGTTTGAAGGTTAGAAATGCGTATCTCGACATTCTCTATCGAATGGTGGTAACGAGAAAAAACCGATTTTCGACTTCAGTGAAAAGTCGAAAATCGATATCAAATTTGAAGGTTAGAAATGCGTATCTCGGCGTTCTCTATCGAATGGTGGTAACGAGAAAAAACCGATTTTCGACTTCGAAGTGAAAAGTCGAAAATCGATTCCAAATTTGTAGGTTAGAAATGCGTTTCTCGGCGTTCTCTATCGAATGGTGTTAACGGGAAAAAACCGATATTCGACTTCAGTAAAGTCGAAAATCGATACCAAATTTGTAGGTTAGAAAAAAGTCGAAAATGG